TTAAACTGCTTCATGCAGCAATTTCGTCCTCCTAGGACACGGCATTGATGCTAAAATACAAACAATGAATTAAACTACGTCAAGTTAGTTTATGGTACAATTGTAGCCTTTGTACATGAGAAAATAATTCGGCTGTTCAAGCAATCTCTTTGTTTTTAAATGCATGATCGATGTTTTGTCGATGATGCTGTCAGAGAATCTTTGGTAGGGAGCTTAGGGGGGGTAGCCTACACCACATTATCAACAGTTTTATCTATAAAACATAACGATAGTGGCATAGACACATAAACATTTTTGTTAACATATTTGACGAAGTATGGCGAACGTATCAAGTCGGAAAAACGTGTGTGATAAATTATTTATGATTAGAACTTAGTGATGTGACGCTGTCATGTATTTACAACAATCATTATATGAAACATTGTCATCCATCTTACTTCCAGCTACCTTACAACAAAATAACTTTCATCTCCGCCGAAACGGATATTTAATGTTAACTTAGTACTGGTTAAGACATTGTTCCGCAATACTTACATAAGATTAATATTTATTACTGTGCATCTTTGTTGTCGTAAGATATGTCGCTCCAGTCCTTGCTAGGTATGATATCAGAACGGTATAATGAGTGAAAATACAGTCTTCAGCAAAGATATATTTATTTCTACAACTTTCAAATAAAATTATTCCTTTTTCACGCTGACGCAGACGAAATCCGGTTTTAGAAGTAAGGAACTTGGATGTTACGGTGCTTATAATTCTTATTAGTGAATGTTTCAGAATAATTTAGGGTGAGTGATGGTTTCCTACAAAGGATGGTTGATTCTTTTTAATAACTTAGCTGCACTAGAAAATATACATATTGTTAGACATGCGGTTATTTTTTCTATGACTACACGTTAACCTTCTGCCAACTTTGAATACGTTGACAATTTGTACAAGGGTATTGATGGTTTTTGGGTCCTTTCCCATTTATTGTAGATTTGGTATTCATAAAATAATTTTTCATTGATTATTTTTGTGAACCACAGACACCGGCTTTTGAAACATATTTATTCTAGTTTCATTTCGGTGACACTGAAGCATTATACTGCCATTATTAAAAAGTGATGTCTTTTGATGTAAAATTCTAAAGATCTGTTATGAACTGTGCTCGTTATTTACATGGAATAAAAACATACCTTAAAATTAAAAACTACACTATGAACGATTTTTCTTTCCGGATGTGTATTTACTTAATCGTCATTGTTAATTCATATATGCAGAAAAACGTCTCAAATTGTATTTGCATGCGGAAGGTAAATACAGATCTACATATCTAGCAATGTTATGTTAGAGTGTAAACATGTATTACTTGTATGATGTCATCAGAATGTTATGTTATTATCCTTGAAAAAGTTGAACTTTTCAGGGCCATAACTTCTGAAGTTAAAAACGATCGGGATCACATTCAACCTTCAACGTTTTATAGTATATATTGTCTTCATTCTTAACAAAACCGGATAGAGTTTTTCAAGATTTTTCATTTCATTCTGACACACTTTACACTGTGGGAATGTACAGAAAGTATTACAGGAATTTAACTTCGATATCTAATTGTCTAGGTCTTTAATTCGTGCGAAAGATGTAAACCATTAATGTCCAAAGATACTAAAAGTCATACTTACACACAGCATCGATATAGAAATTCTGGCGGTTCATCGTAAGCCGTAAACGTGTTTCTTTATTTGATTTTGTTTCTGATATAAGAATAATATCCAATACTGTATAGTCAATTGCACGGTCCTAATGCAGTATTCAGTACATGAGGGAGAAAGTGTGTCGTAAACCCCCTGATTGTATCTGGAGGATATGCCTAGGCCTAGAGGTAGTCGGTATGTCTTGGTAATCTTGCGTGTCATGTGTCAGTGTTGTAGTGTAAGAAGACACAAAGTTACATTAGCTATGTCGGTTTATACTGTAGATTTAATCATCTATATACATATATTTACGTAAAACAGATCTTATGTTGTATCTACTATACTCACTGCACTATCTCCTGATAAATCAGCACTAACCTACTTGTGTTAAGAAAATAAATTAGAAACAAATTATCATAAGTACCGACATTATTTGTATACGATCAGTCACAGGCTAACAAAGTAAACAGATCACGGTGGATTGCATACCACCTCGGGTATATCATTGTTGGAAGTTAATTTCTAATTTATTTTCTATTTGTCGTTAGCTCTAAAATCACCCATCAACCTACATCTCGTTTTTGTAATCTGTGTATTTATTTTAAACGTGATTGCGTTTTTGTCATTTGATTATCTTGTGTTAAACCAGGGAACAATAGCTGGGAGAATCATTCCATTAACTGTTCTAACGGTATCGATGGTCATTCAGACCCATTATAGATGAATTCCAGTCTTTAAAACGACTTGTCAGCACGTTATTGTGCTCACTTACCTGTGGCAGACATCGCAGTTTTTACCTCCTACATATCTCATTTAAAGGACTTCAGTAAACTGAACTGTTAAAGTCTTCCATAAGCCTGTGGATGTGACATAAGGCTATATCTGAGATCAATTGCTAGAGTCACTAGACCACATCTGGATGGGTGTGGAGGGAAACGAAACATTAGCAACACAATGATAGCCTAACACCTTTGTATGTGAGGTGTGACTATACACAAGTGTAGTATAGTATTTCTGTCGTAGTATTAGGTATACAGCGTTAATCTAGGTACATAGTAGGTGTCATAGATCATTGAATAACATAATGAGGATATATCAATATATCTCAATCAAAATGAAATCATGTTATCTGGATCGTATGTACATGTTCATAATTGTCCAGTTTACAAAAAATAACAGAATATCTTGTACATGTGAACACTTCTTTTGGTCGATTTCCCGAACTCACCATAATATTTTAGGCCACCAATACCACTAACGAGTCGTAAAATTTCTTATTCTGAATTTTGATCACCAAGTGATATTTACTTGTGTGTCCTTTGTACAATCCTTTACGTCGTTTTTCACAATCCAGTCAAATATCTCATGTACATTTGAATCGCGATTGAAAACTCAAACGCCGAAAAATTATATATCCAATCTCATTACAGCGATTTAATGAGTTAATTGATGTAAGCAGTATATTCATATGTGTAACAATATGTACATACTTTAAATGTTTGCATTACTGAGTATTGGTGTGATTGGTTTCAGCGCCTGGACCATCAACAGGTATATCCGAATTAACTAATTAGTTAATTAATTTAGTTGTTTTTTATGCTAGTAATCTTTGTGTTTGTCATTTCAGTTCAAACGTGTGCATTTTGTAGAATATAACTGCCATATACAGCTAGTTTATACTTGTAGATGGTTATGTAACATTTACTAAACTTTCATTCAGGTGATTGTTAATTAAGCACTACTTTTAGCTGGTTCAGAGGGTTTCATCGACACTTTTAATGGCCGCAGCTAGTCTGTTAGTAATACGTGGAATCCGGTTGGTGATACGGTTTATGTTGCCATTACGAGACACGTGATACATATGTCCTATTTATGAAATCGTTCAAATCGTATTTCTAATATTGATCAAATCGTGTGGCTTGGTACTAACCGGATTTCGTAAAATTGCAATCTTGAAGCACTTCGGTAATATATTTACTCTGTTATACCGGGAAGTAACGGGACGTGTCATATACGCCAATTAATCAAATACATGTTTTAATAATACTGTGGTATTTTTATTTTTTTTTTATATTATTATTATTATTCGTTTTCATTTTTTTTCAGATATTGAAATCCAACACATAGTCTATTGATTTTGTTTGTACAAATTGGTTTATTTAATATGCACTTAAACGTTTCAAAATAATTGTTATGTTAATGGAATTTGTGTTTGTGTATTGACATTTAAAAGGATTTTTCGTTTATGTGGTAAATAGCCGTACAAAAACATAATACATTGACTGAAATGAGCACAGAGTAGGCAGACATTTTACCGAAAATCAATACCAAACAATGCTAGCTTTAAAGTGCTACCGTTCCACATTACTGAAAATGATCTTCACCCATGTAAATATCGTTATATGTCCCAATAATAATGTTTAAAGATCAAAAACATTGCAGAAAACATCCGAAATGGACCTTGGAAAGATATCGGGTTTCTACATGTAGTCTGATATTGCATGAAAATTATTGGGAAAAAATATAAAAGACCATTGAAAATCACCTAAACGATGTTGTTTGTTACATACACTGACATTGGTTATGTTTTTAAACACATACAATGAAAATTTTGTTTTATAATTGAAAATAACATGTATGTTTTATTAACTTTGTTTTCTTTTTTTGCTTTTTTAATTTTTAAGCAAATGTCTTATTGACAAAGCCATATAATAACAATGCAAAACACGTGGTTTAGTTCCACGAAAATCACCCTCACTATCATCAAATAAATCGTCCTTACAAATACCATTACATACATGAATCTTCATATATACATACGCTACAACTTTATGTAGCATTTTGCAAGCATTTTATTGACATAGACATGATTAGCACATTACCATATTTATAGAAAGATATACATTTCATAGAAAAACAATCGTAGAAATATACAGTCATATTTTTATTGGAATTTTACAAAAAATTATCTTTGCTTAAGTAGCAATATATGATACGACACTAGCCAAAAGTTTATTAACTGTTTTCATTAACCGTAAATTTAGATAATTATATTTTTGTGTATATTCAAAATACCACTCGCATTTACCGTACGGTACACGCCTTTATGCTATTGGTAAACTATATGGCTTTTGTCTCGATGCCATCGATCAGGTGAAAAAAATTCCATTTGATCTGACCTTGTATCAACATGATCTATTATAATAGTATATCCATGTTATCCTGATACAATGTAAACAGAGGTAGGGTGAAGCAGGGTGAAACAATTACAGTTCTTAAGGAATGTCTTTATTTTGATACACGAATTATTTTTAATCATTTTAGAAAATAGCCAAAATGGATGTAGGGGTTATAAAGAAGCAGCGCTTTACTCGAGGAATGAAGGTTAGTATACTATCATTAATTTTGTGTAGAGAAAAACTTATATCGATTGTACAAATTGCATTTGATGTCCTTATCACTGTTGTTAAAATCGTAATTAATATCTACCAAATGCGTGGATAATGTATTGATATTTAAAACCATATTACATACGACCTAAACAAACAGCACCCTCACTCAGTTTAAAACCTCTCAAATTTTATAATGACATTATGATTCCAGGCGATTGAGAAATTTAAACATGCTGTGGAATTGGTGCTGATTCTGGCGAGAGCCTGTATCTCCAGGCGCAAGTAAGTGCACCGAAATGACTAATAATGTGATTTTAATTATGCATTGATATCTCATTCATTTAATCCGATTAGACAGATTATTGTTAAATATTAAAGTAGGCATAATCTAGGTCCAAATACCATGCTGATAGCGTCAGGTACTGTCGCGCAAGAAATTACACAGAATCCAAGACGTCTGAACTTGCTTGTAATGCATTTTGGGCGAGGAGATGGAATGTAACGACACATTAACACATACGGGGGATTACCATGATCAATTACCATGAATCCAAGACGTTTGAACTTGCTATAAAACATATGCATTCATTGATTTTCTGCAACATCTAGCATCTGTAGTGCTTTGCCAATACTAGCAGGAATGCAAGGTATTTATTTAAGATGAGTCTTGCTAAGACAATTGGAATGTGAAAGCTAAGGATAATGCGTGTAGAATCGACTTTGTATGACATTTATGACATGGAGAAGAAGGCTCCACATGTTGTTATCCAATACGAAGGTAATATATTTTAGACGGGCGGAAGTAGTGTTGATAAGGTCGATGTTTACCATACAATTAGCGACATCCCTTTAGACTTATATTTTTATAGTTTTGGCATTGATTTGAGCATGCACATTTTTATCATCAAAGTTAATCATCTGCATAAAAGAGATTGAGCATATTGTATGTTTCATACGCAATATCTGTTCGTGGGGAGTTGCCACTCAATGTCACTATCTAATTAGTCTGTCTGTCAAATACTGCGCAGCAGGAAGCTATTTGATATCAAATCTGCATATAAAGTAACATACCAAAGAGGCCTACTAATGTCGGGAATGATATAAACACACTCAACCATTGCTATCAGTGATGATGTTCTTTATTTGGAAACATTCAGCCTTTAATACAGCTGGAAAGGAGACGAACATTGCATTGGTCCTATTGTTTTTTCTGCTTCTGAACGGAATCCTATTACATCATGACATGAAGCCGTTATAGAGAAGACTGGTATTTGCTCCAGGCTTTGATGTTAAAGATAAAAGCAGAAACACATAGGCTTTGGTGACTCCGACAAAAATTGTTATATATGATAGAAACGTTCATGAAAGAAATATCTTTTGATGATACAGTAAAGTGAAATCTTGAAAATGGTAGTGTGTACTGTGAGGTTAAAAGTGTTAGTTTCGTTTTAGCAAACCTGGTTAGTATTTGAGCACGTGACATTGACCATTGTTTATTCTCGTTGTACATTTTCAATGATATGCATCTTAGTCATCGATTTTACATTAAGACAGCATGTCGATGTTGTCTTCATGTTTGAGTGCAAGTTGAGTTTCTATATTCTAGAGATAATGATTTCTATCTGAAATCAGTTACATCAATGTATTTGTTAACATTGTATAGGTACTATAAGGAGGTCAAACCTGATACAGCCCTTGCTGTCAAACGCCTGAGACAGAAGGGTAACAGAGAGAATAAAGATACCTCCCGGTCTAGTGTAAGTCATCCCACTACTTTTAATTTCTTATAGTAGGAATGAAATGAAAATAGGTTCAATAATCTTATATTGCAATAGTACATTTATCTTATTTTATTATATATTTCTCTATAGTTAATTTTGTACATAATTGGTGGATGCTTAAAAGTAATTTAAAAAAACTTTTGTCATGATAGATAGATATATTGTTTGAGATATTTTTTTATATCATAAAACCACATGCTACTAATTCAACCTAATTTTATTTATTCGTCGACATTTTGCATTTAATACCATTAATTGTGTTACATGATTAATTAGAGTTATCTTATTAACATACCGACGCCTTTGCAGACAACATTGTTTTTGTGGTGTCTACTGTCCAGACAATTAAATATATAATTTGCTGGAATTCCAATTTATTTAGTTCTAATTCTTTTTCAGCTTGCGTTTGATATGCAATTAGCATTTTCAACGGAACCCAACTACCGAAGTAAAAGTGATATTAAAAAGGTGAGTATTTAAATAGCCTTCAGGTATATCATTTATAGCAATACATGTTTTATTCTTAGCAATAACTATATATTATATATCAACGGAAAGCCAAATGTTTTCTATTGTAAAGTGATAACTTGTATGATTCATGAGGCCTTGAAGCATATGATTCGGCATCATATATACAGTCCATAGAAAAAAAAACTCAAATATTTAAATGGCTTATCAAATATCGAAATCTGTAGAGAAAATATTAATTAGTATTTCTAATACTATCTTAACTTAGATATGAATGCACTTCTTTAACGGATTTTGTACCGTTTGATGATGTAAACAGACGAAATGCTTTATTGGTATTTGTTTTGTTTTCAACTTCTTGATAAGTGTCTCTTTTTGAACAGTTTTTTTGTAAAATGTTCCAAAATATGCCAGAAATGCAATTTTATACTCCTATATCAAATATTTCGGTATTGTGTTCAATTGAATGCTATTTAATGTTTCAGATTATTTGGGTTTTAAGAGCAACGAAGGCATTTAAACAATTGTTCCCGGTGGAAGTGGAGGCAGACGTAGCGAGATGTGTGGCGTATGAGAGGTAAATGTCCTAAAGCTGACGATGAATTTAGTCATCACAACAAGTAGCACGCAATGCGTTTACATGTAATGTTTGTCTGTCTGCTAAATACCAAAAATTGTACAAAAGGCACTCGAATAAACAACACTTTTTACTATCGATTAGATTTGCGTAGAGTAGAGTCAACCATACAGCCTTTTTGTCTGGTCAGTGATACGAAGGGAAGGGCCTAAATTTTAAACCTGTGAGGCGACTAAAGAAAATCCCAAAAGATCGACAGAAATGTCAAAATCTAGAAGGGGGAGATGGACTACCCATATGTGCAATTGTAAACATGATGTACGGTTAAGCATCTGTCATAAATAAACAACAATTTGCATTAATTGTATACAAATATATGGTCCTGTTTATCATAACATATGTAAATATTTGAAATTTGATTTAAACTATACTCATATATTTATTTCTATACTGGCAATATCAGTCACGGCTGAATGACAAAATAGAATCACATATCACATTGGTTATTTTATTTGTGAAATGAATTCAAAGTATAAAGGATAAGAAGAAGTTTGATAACTTAACAATGTCTATAAATGTCTTATTTACATAAAATACATTGGCATTTCAGTTGCATTACATGGTTCACACTAAAACAAAATCAGAAACTTATAATTTTTTCCATTTGTATATTTATGTTGACACGGCGAGTAATAACTAAATATTCTGTAGCCAACGCAAGTAATCTTATAATGGTGTTTCTATCTTATCCTTTCACAGGTATGATTCCAACAGGATCATAGCGTTACAGGAACGAGATCCAGAAAGATTTTATTATATCCTCACGGGTAAAGGTAGGTCACCACATGTTTGTTTTTGACCACTAATATTGATCACATTAACGGTGAAACGTACTCTGATATACCTTGTAATCACAAAATAAATCTGGATATAAAACTATATCAAAAGTATAACATTGTTCGACAATTGATGACCAGAGATTTGAAGTTTTCCGGTCCGGATTTTAGTCGTGTTTTAAAGAAGACTAACCAATTTCACCAATAATACCGTACGTCACTATGACCTTGACAACGTATGGGCAACATTGTTATCATAAACATTTGTTTATATCACAACTTTACTCTGTATTATGTTCTCCTTGTCACAAAAGACGTTTTTTATTATAAGATTTGTCAAAAGTACATGTAACCGGTTTTACATTGTTTATTATTTATTATACATATACAACTTCTGTAAACCAGAAGGACAAACTATATGCTACCTTTGTCTTCTAACAGGTAGTAAATATAACTGTTTTATTCCGTGCTCGTTTGTGTATCTTGTCTTCGCTCTATTCATCGGTCCACCTGATCTTATATCTACCAAAGACTACCTTGCGTGATGTTTTTAATCATTAACATCTTTATCTATTCTTGTCTTCGTGTAATTGTTTCTTTGTATATCATTTTCGCACGTTTTTGGAATAATTTTGTTTGATTTCCTATCACGGATATCATAAATATCATGCAATAATGAAATATTAATAAACATAGAGATGGTTTGTATCATAAACGTTTCGCTTACCTGTGTTCAAGAGCGAGAACAAAATTTTGGCACTCGATAAAAGATATTTTTATTTATTTGTTAAGATTTGTCTTTTTGCTACGATTTTTGTTGTTGTGACTAATGTCAAGTGGCATGTACTTAATTGTTACAGTGCAAAAAGTACAAGAGTATCGCCTGAGTTCTGGTCTAGTAACCAGGTCAGAGGGTTACATCGAGAAGGGCACAACAACTGATGTAAGTGTGTAGTGCAGCATACATTCACACCACTCTATGACAAAACGGGATATACATGTACCTAGACATTGTTCTATACTACCATATAGCATACATTGTTTTATGAATAACTGACACAAAAGACTAATGATGTTACTAAAGAATTAAAGCCACCAAACAGCAGTAATGACTTAAAAACCCGTAGTTCTGATCTAAATGATAAAATCCTGAAACTTGACCTCTCGTTTAGTGTGATCCTAGAAGTTACGAGTAATGAATGATTATAGATATCTGTTTGTGTGTGATTATCCATAATGTTATATATCATGTATTAACATTCTGGTTTATTTGAACTCCGCAAAATAGGATAAGGTAGCCTGATCATTTCAACATTATAGTTAACCATGCATGAAGAAATAACTTTTCAACAATATATGACATGGAATTATTTCTAAAATTTTCAAATATGACAGGAAATAAATCGTCATGATGACACCAATACTTTGTTGAATGAAATGTCAAACCATCATTATTATTATTATTATTTTCGATATGAGATTTGGTTTATTGGATATTTACTGCATCTAGATAAGCCTTTATTTCCACATCCAAGACCTTGTTGCAATATCTGAGTTATTGATCCTGCCAGCCAAGAAAAAATGTTTATAATGGATGGTATGCTCTCATTTGGAAATAATCTCCATATTTGTGCTTTATATGTTTTACCCATACCAACTCATTAACTCAATGTTTTCCGTTGGGAAATAAACATAATGTTACTTGTTTATAAATTGCAGGCGCAAGAACTGGAGATGTCTTGGCAGAGGGAACACCACCTGGTGTCGCGTGGACAGGTGGAGGTTCTCATCATACACAGAGATGTACGTAGTTTACTAGGTGTCAATGTATTTAAAATATATAATGTTCGCTTGAGTGAATCATTTATATATTAATCAGTTAACATGTTGTTAACATGTGTTAAATTATTGTTGTTTTACAAGAGCATTCTCAATACACTGTGGTTTTCAGACTGGATAATTGTAGATTGTAAACTAAAAAACCTTAACATTACTTTAAATTGTATTATATACTACCATTTCGTAGCAGACATATATATTAACCAATAATAAAGACATTGTAAAAGATTGTTATCGACCAATGGGAAATTTAATGTCGATTTCATTGTACGTGACATGTAGGTATGAAAACCTTAAATACCTGTTGCATTACTATAATTTTAATTGGATTTCTGAATTTCCTTTCAGGACTTTTTACGATTACGAAACAGAACGTTAGGGCCTCCGATAGACTTTTTAAGGTATGGGTGTTTCCTCATGTTACACAATGATTTACAGCGATAGCACACATTGAAGTAAAGAAAAAGTCAACACACACTACGTTTATGTACATAGAAAGCTATTTGTATTGAACCGGATCAAATAATTATATCTAATGCGTAAACACAAAGTACCGAAATAGTTTTTTGTGTTAAAATACATATACGTCATTACGTTTGTGTTTATATAATGTTGATTTATCTATGAACTATCATTAGTGGCCTCTCAAGTCTGAAACAGATCCACTTCAAATTATATGAAGCAAATACACTTGAACTTCCTATGCAAATATAGGTCTGAAGTGTGGTTTGATATAGACCAGAATTTAATTTCAGTCCTAACACTTGTCGCTCTATAAATATTTTCGCACACTGTTGCAGTGTTGACCTTGTGCTACAACATGTTATTTATTGTCTGGGTTGATATACATAAACTTAAATCTGCCTTGAGATGATGTAGTGGTGTTAATATGGAATAAATAGTTAATATTTCCGTATAGTATACATCAAGATATATTTACTCTCTGAAATATATATTTTGTTGGCCTACTTCTTTCTAGTCATAAGGATACGTCTCACTTTAACTTAATTTGAATATTGTTTTGTTTTTCAGAAAATTAGATTTATTTTTGGAATTTCCATGTGAAGTATTCAAGACAAATCCAGACTCAATACATTTAAAATACTATGGGTAAGTGTATCTGTAATGATATAGGTGTCGTTTTGGGTACATATATAGTGCATTGCTGATCTTCTTACAATGGAAAACGGGTTCTTTTAGCAAAATGTATCCTGTTCCAAAATGTGTGTTGTAAGTGACAGAGAGAGAGAGAGAGAGAGAGAGAGAGAGAGAGATCCATTTAATGCACCTTTAATAATTAGTTAAAACATGATACTTGTAAAAGCATACAAACAAATGAGTCTACTTTCAGCCAGGACGTGACAATTGTTGAAGATACTAATAGAACACCATGGATCCACATTGTAAAATCGGTAAGTGTAGACCGCCACTTTGTTGCTAAAACTCAACACTAGCAAATTATACCTCATATTACAAACGTTTACACGCAGCCCATATCGGCAAAGAAGAATACTGAAATCTGAGCCCATCCGTATAATATCGTATTATATCATTGTTAGAATTACCTCCAGCAGTACGGTGGAAAAGGTCCGTTTCAATATCTGTCTGCCAATTTGGTTTTATCTGAGGTGTTCAATTGAATTCGTCTGAGCCCACTAATAGCATTGAGTCATCATCCTTAATCCCGCTGCCTAACAATATAAATAACACTAAGTTCAGATGATATCTTGTAACATAACTGTTTTACCTTGTTACACCCCGTTGATAAACTATGAAGGAAACATTGACACCAAGCAGTAAAAAATATATTACGAATCAAATATCACTGGGTGTCAGAAAGAGACGTGCACGCAATTTTATATTATTGTAAAAGTAAAACGGGTGATCGATAACATGTAATTTAATCTTTATGCTGTGTTTTGTATTATAATTAATGTGTTTTAACATCTGTTGTATGAAATTGTCTTGAAAATAAACTACCTGGTATTATCATCCTTGTGTTTTTTTAGGTGAGATTGGATTATGACGATCTTGACATGTTGTTTTCTTTCTTCAAATAACGAAAACATATGATTGGAAAGACTAAACATAGCTTGTCATAGTTAGTTTCTCAGACATATGTGAAACATGTAAGCAAAACAACTGAACTGAATTATGTTTCAGGGACGGGTAAGGGTAGTCAGAATACAGAGTGTCATCGATGTAGAGACTGACCGGAAGTTCATGTCACAGAGCATGGAGGAACTAGGGTGTGGTCGGTCTTTTAGCCACGCTCAAGGTAATAGAAGTGTCACATAAACGTTAACTTAAACTGAATTTTAATGAAATGATTTAACAATAAAATGTATTTTCAATACAGCTTTACAAATGAACTATTATTTCGATTTATATATGGTTGATTTGGAAACGTTTGTATATTAATTATTGAAGATAAACGATACCAAAACCTCTTTTCTTTTTTATGTTTTTGTTTTTTACATCAAAGATCAGTGAGACAGTCGTGTACTTCTAAACTATATATACATCATGTAGATCATGCCGAATTACGACAGTATGTAATACTATTCACTGGCCCGTCGATCTCATTTCTAGTGAGATTGTTCACAATATCAAATAAGCAATAGTTATGTTTGTTTAAACACCCTGACCAATAATATAGAGCTCCCGTATATAATTAAATATGTTTTACGATAATGTTTTATTTTCCGTTATGTTTATAGCGATGATTGGCAGTCTGATGTCGCAAAGGAAAATGAAGGCCCTCAGCGGCAGCAATTTGTCACTCCCAGAGGTACGTTATTTATCTTTTCGATACTTAAATTTAGCCAAAACGAAAAACGATTGAGTTATTCACTTTGATTCGAACTTGTAGAGTAATGTATTATACATATCTTGATATAGTAGTCGATCGATAACAAAAAATGAGCAACAAAGGAAAAATGATTGCGTTAGATTTTTTAATGAAAATATATGACTTTTATTATCGGGATAGTTTCGATTTCATACTCAATATGGTAACAATACAAATACAGTAATTGAATCATTCCTGTATATTATGTTCACTGGATCTTAACTCTCATACTTATGTATTTCTGTATATCGACTATTTCTGGTATAGAGTCTCTATTTACGACGATGTAGAAACTATGAATACCTAGCAACCGTTGTCTTTATAGACAACAAACCAACAAGGGCTTTTGTATCACAGAAATGTGGAATTTATCTCGGAGACCTCGCCAGACTATGAATCAGCGGAATAATATCGAAAGCAATAAACAAAATGCCTATTCGTCATATTAATGTTGAAAACCGCTTCATTTCTTAGATCAACACCAATGAAGTCTCCAACCCGTTCATGTCAAGTATAGGTTTTAGTAGCAGTTGTAGTAATTCGTTCAGCAGAAAGAACAGCACCTTTGCTGAAGGCATTGGTATACTCTCCAACGTAAGCGGTTACATGGTGTGAAATTATCTGCACAGTTTTATGGCACGTATTTACGAGGATTAATAATGAGAACCTGGTTTTCATTGCTAACACATTTGTATAACATTGAGTGGATTTCGTTTTTATTTGATTGAATTTAATCCAGGATGTAGACTTGGGTTTCTTTATCCGGATTCCTGTTGTAGTTTGTTTGGGATTTAGTTGCAGCAGTATGTTGTCACACTAACCAGGCTATAACCCATACTTTGTATCACATCATTGTTTGTTTTGTTTTATTTTTGGTGTTATCATTACCTCGTACTGCTTTCAGGAATTGGTTATATTTTAAATTTTTTATATAACCGAAATAACACAAGTCAAGGGTACGCAATGTATGATAAGTATCCATTGATTTCAACACGAGTTAGCTGTGTGATGGGACCCATTCACCTCATCACAAATCTATTTAGTTTAATTAATAAATATTATAATTTGAAATTATATGCATATGGCATCAAATTGAAAGACCTGCATGCGACCTCTCCTGATAAAAATACAACAGATGTGTCAGCAGTATCATATTTTTCCCAACATTATTAACAAACATTATAATTATATTATACTTTCCTTCTGGAAGTGTTTTAGTAACATTAACATTGATTGTTTAGCATGTTTTTATCTACCGTTACTTCTGGCTCATTTCGCATGACGTAAGAATGAACACAAAAGTTTTAATAATCGTTTGATAATAGCTGTTTTCCATATTAGGTCGGTATATTAGTGTCTAGGTAAAATGTGTTTGCACGTGTGAACATATTCAGATATTATCTAGTTTATATGTTATACATTATTGTTTCATAACAAAAGATCACGAAAAAAAATTGTGTATGGAATACATTTCAGATAACCAAACGTCACAAGCCAAGTGTTTCCTCAGTTCCTCTGCATGCGCCAATGGAACAGGAAGAGATGAAAACCGAGAACTTTGAGAGTGAGGCTTCAGAGAGACAGCAATCAAGCAAAAGGAAGGCGAAATACGTCAAACCTCCCATAGTAGGCAAGTGATATCAGAACGAGTTTCTTATCTTAGATAAATTGGTGTTGCGAACTTCTAAGATTACTATTGTAAAAATGTTCAGATTTACGACGACTTTTTTTTTCTTGAAATTTTGCTTGAATGATATTTTTACATATAAAATCATGTAACACCTTTGTATGGTTGATGGGAAAGGACGTTTCATTTCTTTAAATCACTATTAATATGTCCAGTTGAACAAGGGGTAGACAATCCATCAAGCGGTAGAGGATCACGTGCGGACATCATGCTAGATACAGAGCTTCCAGACATACAGATTACTAACGGACATGTAAGTTTTATTACTCTATAAATATTTTTATCCCTACAAATCTTAATTACTCAACATTATCTCTGTTTTATAAGCTACTAATACGTATTTGTATCTATACCTTTGTACCTATGTAGTATTGGTTCATGAAATGTGTTTAATGTTAATGAGTTCATATTTGCATAATTACTGTTCACAACAACATATTATTTTGCATGTTTACGAATTTCGTACATTTGTTTTCAATAGGATTCTCCTACCAAAAAGCATGATAAGAGAACATCGTTTCCACCTATAGTGAATTCAGCAGAGCGCCCTCTTACAAATGGTGAGCTCCATCCACATGGGACTTACCTAACAAGGGAGATGACCGAGTTTGACCCCGTATATGCAAGAAAGGCAACGAAGGAGATCAAACTTCGCCCAGCTTACCTACAGTTGGATGTGCTGAATCCTGGCGATATTTTTGTATGTTCTTATTTACTCTTATTTCATTTTGTATCAATAATAACTAACTAGAGTGATTTGTTTGATTTTACTTTGTATTACACACGTTTCATGTCTTTTGTGTGTTTTAATATTTTCCTATGTATCTAATAACAATAGAATTTAGCGCATATATACAAACATATAAAGTATGTACACACTTTTCGAATTCGGTCACGTTATTTATTGCTCACAACAAAAATAATTAGCATAATGATATTACATTAATTGCAGTGTATAAACTTTAAAAATAAAATAACGTAATGCTTTTGAAAAATTCTGCTTTTGCTTATACATATCATATACTATAGAAATTGATGTATCCGGAACATTTTTAGCGAATTCATTTTATCTGTAGATGTGATATACAACTTTGCTTGAAATCTGTTTTTTAATGAGTGTCTTATGAATTACGCCCATTATTGAAATATGATTACATAGATGATGCCAAAAACTAATATGGAAGGTATTTTCAAGAAGAGGAAGCGTCACATATATCATCTTAATTCTAAACTGCACATTTACGAGGTGTGACATAACGCTACTCTGTTTTTTTCTTTTTGTATATGTGATTCTGTCGACCTAACAGCAAATATAACTAATATGTCTGTACAGCAGGTATTAAACAGGTGGAGTATCAAGCGTTTGATTAAACTATGTTTGTGACTAACCTTTGTCTTCGTATCATATGATACTCTAGGGTTTGGACGCTATTTCTAAGAAATTCCACAGTCAGCTTAGACGGCCAGGTGAGCAGGTGAGGAGCTACTATGTACTTTGCATGCAGATTTTATAAGCGTAGTATTTAACAGGAGATTAGTTTTATAATACTTTATGCTTTATCTTGTAATAGATGGTAAGTATGATACATGCATTTGAGGCAGGAAGTTAGGTTTTAACAGACATTGTTATTCTAATTTCAGACTGTATGCTTTTTTAGTACAAACATATATTCCTTTAGATGCAAGCAAATACAATTCAAAACCTAATGTTCGCATGATCGTGATTTTATGAATACAAGTCATGCATGTGACATATAAACTGATACTTTATTAAACCTTTTTTTTTATGGTAAGATCCTCAGTTCCTGTATACATGTTTATTCTCATAGCGGCCACTTTTCACTCATCTTATTTACTAATTTCTGTCATAACAACAGATTTAGTGAGATATCTTGATTTTAATATCTGTCATAACAACAGAATCAGTGAGATATTGTAATTTTAATATCTGTCATAACAGATTAAGTGAGATATTTTGATTTTAATATCTGTCATTCCAACTGATTCAGTGAAATATTGTGATTTTTATATCTGTCATAACAACAGATTCAGTGAGATATTTTGATTTTAATATCTGTCATAACAACAGATTTGGTGAGATATTATAATTTTTATATCTGTCATAACAACAGATTCAGTGAAATATTTTGATTTTAAATCCATGAACCTAAGATCAAATCCTTGCAATCACACAGTTTTATAATATTTGAGTAATTCATGTAATTTATGACGTTATAAAAGCAATTTTGTGATCAGAAAATCATGCAAGAGTATTTGTAGTTTGTTTCACGCCCTCAGATGGTTAGTAAAAATTTGTTCGTTTAACGAAGGAATAATCAACGGTCGACGTTGATATAAATGATGTCAAAACATATCATTGTGAAGTGTTACTTTATAATATATGTTCATTAGTGTCGCATAACTATATAGTCGTATCGTGTACATAGAAAGCCTATAAATGACAACTGTATATGTTCATTCTTAATCAATTGTTAATTAAAACGATATGACCATTAAGGAAATATTGAATGTGAACAGAATCCATGAAATATACTTGAATATTGTGGTTTATATTTAGCATTTCATGTAGATGTCGCTTTTTGCTTCGAAATTTACTGAAATGTATGAAGGTAATGGCTGGTAACGAACTGTATGTTCTTTGACAAAATAAACATGTGTGAGATATACAATAGTGACAGAAATTATAAATCGTTAGGATATGGATTTGTATACAAAAAATTGTGTAGCTTACACTTGGTTTTTCCCATGTTACAGGGACTAGAACATCTACAACCACCTACCGCCTCGGAGGCTAAGGGAGTCATACTGGTGAGTTTATAAGTACTAGGATTTTAACGAAAGCATAATCGAATATGCTGTCATCTTATTATCCGATGTTTCCTTGTGTAATCCGAGGAGGTTATCTTACCCGTTTAATTGAGAGGTCTTCTAATGACTCTCAGTGGTTTAACATTTCAAGTCATGATGTCTATGTATGTTACAAGTTTGATAACTTTAATGAAGAAAGAGAAAACCGCAGTTTCTATCAGTTGATTTATGACAAATCATAGTGTTGGTGGGTGTTTTAATGGTGGGGTATCGATTTTACCCACTGCTAATAACAGTTAAGAAAAATTAATGTTGTCCAATGTTGTCGACAGATTGGTGTTTGTTTTAGAACAGACTCTTGTTTTATTGTTATAGGTTAGTGGTGGTGCTGAAGTGATAGAGATCAGTAAAAGATTTTTCTTGGAGCATGCGCAAAACAACACGATGCTGCGTGTAGAGACGATGGTATGTTCTGGTTTAGTAATACTCGTGAACCGCTGCAACTATTTGTAGTATTAGATGGAGGTATTATAACATACCATGTGGCGGACATGAAATAAAATAGATAACATGAAATGAATATCATAAACAGTTCTGCGGATAACTATTGTAGATAGGAAAACTGTAATTTTACCTGTTGTAGATAGGAAAACTGTAATTTTACCTATTTTGGTTTTTAAAAAGCAAAGAAAATACCAATTTGTCAACTAAATCTTCGTCCAAACGCAAATTCGATGAAACTGAGCCAAACTATGAACAAAAAGAAGTTTATACGAAAACTCAAGAAAAAGTACAAGGAGGCAATGAGATCAGGTGTTCCGTAAGGTTGAACAATACGGCAGTATTGCGATAATTTTTATTTCCACTAATTCATACTCAAAATAAAAGTTGATTAATTGTTAAGCTACCTCCATTTTTTGCAGCAACGAGAATACATGAACAATGACGAAGCTAAAGATATCCTCTACACAAAGGAGACATGGGATCAATACAAAAGTGTACTCATGCGAAGACTTGTGCGGAAAAAGACAAAACCTACAAAGAAATCTTGATGAATATTAAGATGTTTTATCTACCTTTCTAAAAGTAACAGACAATTAAAATGGTGACTATGTGTATTATGATTGTAATTTTTATAATAAAATATTGTATTTTTATGTTTTAGCTACATGTACTCACTGATAATTTCATTGAAAAAGTAAAATAAAATTGTTATTTATTATACATATGTTTGCGGATCAGAGCGATATTACCCTACTAAACAACGGTGATTTAAATTGTTATGGTTATACATCTTAAACAACAAAAGGATTTGAATTTTACCCGGATGTCATGGCAAATTTTTGGTTTCCTTCTCTGATTCTATAGCCATGGTAACTATTTTTTTCTATTTTAATCAAAATTGTTTATAAAGTAGCAAATCAATGAAACCTCTTGAAAATAAAAACATCATTTACTTTTTATTTTATTACCTGTCACTTGTAAGTGTGATTTTGTGGAACTGATTTTCAAATTAACATCGGCACTGAGTTATTTTAGTACTTTGCTCCTGAGTGTGTACGAAAGTTTAGGCCTCAGAGAGGCAGTATATAACCTAGCACAGACTAGTTGTATACAATGTCAGTCCATTCACGCCATTGCTGCGTTGAATGATAAAAACACTGTCCTATGTTTACTTTTCATAACACATACGAATAAGTATCAAAATTGAAGGAAATTTGCATGTTTAAATGTCATTTTTTACAAAGATTATCATTTTAAATGCGCCATTCTTCTTGATTACAAGTCATATGACTTACTAAATTTTGATACTTTAAAGTACATTGAAGTTGATATATTTTGTTATCAACGTAAACTCTGTGATATCAACTGTTGACATATGCAAATTATGTCAAATAAAATAAATCCTGATTTTCATTATGCAATATACATATATATAAATTAAGCTTATGGTACCAAGTGTATTACTATCTATGCAGTCTATGATATGTCAGTATTTTCGTTGTGACGGAGAAATTTACTGTGACTGTTTGTTATATCGGCCTAATTATTCCATGGTAATCATACGCTTGTCTTTAACTTATATTCTGTTCGTATGTTTATTTGTGTTAGTTTTTGTTTGTATATGTTGTTTTGTTAATGAATGTTAATATTTGTTTCTTTATTGAACTTGAAGTTGTCTTTGCCAGCACCTTCTGATCCGTCCATTGATTTTATACATTTGCCGCCAATGTTACACACCAATAAAGTGTTATTTTTGCAATCACCGTTTTTGTTGTCGATGTGGTATAATGAAAAAACATTTTGTTTAGAAATCATTATCACCTAACAAAGGTCACTTGAATCCGTTCAAAACCAGAACTAGTGGAGACGATGAATGGTTCATCTGGTACCCGTCAACCCGTGTTTAATGTGTTGGGGTACATTAGACCATCATCATTCATATTTGCCAAAACTGATTACAACGATGATATCAATGGAGTGTTACACTAAACTTTGTCCAGTTCTTGAATAATTACAGAGTTATTTCCCTTCCTTAAATTTCGCACTGCAGTTAAAGGTAACTAACTCTGTATTGGCCTTACGATCATATAACCTTACGTATAATACTCGTCTCTAGTCCATATCATAAACTAGTCATTCAACTCTTATCATATGCATTCGATTGTTTAATACACTGGTATACTGTGAATACAGAGGTCATCAATTGTGTGTTGTCTGGTTACTATAGTATTACTGATTTCTGGACGTTTATATCACAATGACAGAAAAACAGTGCAGTGCATAGCTAGAATTTTAATTCAAAGTGATTAAATCTGCTTCATTGACATTTTACTGTCGTCAAATATGAATTCGCAGTCTGAAATGATGAGTTAGATGTTTACGCGTAAATGTCTGAAAAGTTCAAAGTAAAAAACAAAATACCGAATAAAATATCACTTTCTGAATATGAGAGGAAAATCAAACTATCGTGTAAAATACGTCAAAAATTAAATTTTCTAAATTATTAAAAACGAAGTTGTATTGTAATATATTGTGAGCGTTTGATGGAAAGACTGTACTCACAAATAAAGCAATAATCAAATACATGTCTTACTAATTAAATCCTGAAAAAGGGGGAATTCGAAAAATTAAGAATTTAAAATAAAACGTGAGCTTTCTTTACAAGAACAAGTATATCTTGTCAGTGCATATCCAGATATTATGGTATTGACCCTTAACCTTACATAGGCCTTGTTTTATATCCCCCCTCACATCAATAATCAGGAACGTGACTATATCACTATGTAAAATAGTAGCGGAGTAGCACTCAACAAAGCATGTGTCAGTTTGTCTTTTGTGAAAGATTTTAACAAATCGGATTTGTCACTTATCATCTGTATATTGAATAATTCAATGAACACCACGCCGCACTCAAGCGTGAATTATTAAATGCTTCCTGCATCACAGGGTGCTCGTTCCATTTAATCTAGTCACATTTTCTACTCTTGTCAAAATGCCGCAACACGAGCAACATTTTATGTCATTATTGAAACTGGGCCACAATAAAATAAAACGATGGGCTATCGAAGGTATTATATTTCGAAATACGTGTACGTGCAAATGAAAAAAAAATTGACATGTCAGGAAGTTATGGTTTCGATTGTAATGAAAATCATTTGGATTCATTTACGTCAAATATAATTAAATCTGGACAAGCAGACAAAACGTCCGGTAAGTAAACATTGCTTGATATCTCGGTTTCCATTTACAGCTCTGTGTCAACACCAGGAGGGTTAAAACATTATTACACCGATCTTATGTTAAAGTTCCCTTGCCACTACATGTGTGAATATCGATAAAAGCAAGGGATTCCAGACGCAATAGATTTTGATTAATACAAGTGTCTTTCTTGCTGGTATTGAAGGATTTAGTTAAGGTATCTGTCTGGATACTGTTTTAAACCTATATAAGATGAGATAGGCTTCCAGATTTCCAGTCTGCGTCATCAAATGGCAATTGATTCTTTATATACATTGTAGTCTAAAAATACACTGTGTCATTTCAATTAATATAAATACAATGTTAACACTGTTGGTCTTATTTCATATCACTTTCAAAATCAAAACTTACGCTTAGGATATGAGGTATTTATAAATAACAAAATTCCACTTAAGGCCTTTTTGACATTTCAAGCACCAAAATGTCTAGCAAAAGAATACAAATATTAATACAGCGTAATAATTAAATATCCTTTACCATCGCTGGCAAACAGACAACAAAAGTCCGAATACACACGATCGAAGTGATAATGTATAATATTGTCACAGTATTCTAACAATATAGCAATTAACTTTTGGAAGGTGTTTAAATTGGTTACAAAGGTACACCGCATTGTATACAGTACAAAGAAACTTAATGGCACTGTAGCCACTGAGCGGAGTCTCATATAGGTGGAAACATACAGTATTCTACCTCTGTTCAGGAGCGATAATTGTATCTATCATTTATAATTATTTCAGAGTTTTCCCTTCTAAACACAATAATTTAATTTAAAATCGTATCACGACATTATTATGTGTAAACACAACGCCTTAAAGACCGCTGATAAATAAAACAAGACTATCGTGTCTCACCGGGCAACCCTCACCTCGACACATGCTTTACTGTGTCACCCTTCATTATATACGAGTTTACAATGCTCTGCCCCGCAAACACAGGAGGGATAGCGATATGAAGTACGTAGGTATTACTGGAGATATCACACGTGCGAATCATAACAACTGATTAGAAACATTGACTGCTTAAGGTTAGGATCAAGAATTTGATACTGAAATATCGGCTGGAGAAAGTGAAGGTACAGTAGAATGTAGTACTGTGTATCTATTTATGTCTGAAAGATTATTTCACGTTTCTTCAATACGCAACATTACAATTAATATTTTTATTCATTTATTGGAGTATATGTGATTAAGAAATGGCTGAAAAAAAGGATTCTTCCACAATCTTACGGGACCCGTACACAATTATAGAGGAACCTTCGGCAAAAACAGAGAAAGACTTAGTCACTCATCAACAACAAAATGAAGTTGCGGTCGACGAAGAACGTCTGGCGATGAGAAACAATGCTGAGCTTCACAATGGTGTTATCGTTTTGGATTCAATTCAGATTCCACATTTAGATGATCCTGAAAAACAAAAGGATGTACTGGAAAAAGATAATGAAGAACCCCCCGAATTTACAGTCCGCCTTGGCACTTCTCTCACTAGAAAGGATGCGGACGTCAGGGCAAGAGTACTGCTGAAGAAACTAGCTGTTAGGTCTACTTCACCTCATCCGAAGTCTTCAGTGTCCACTGTTGGGTCAGTGCCGCGGTCAAGACGAGCCAGTGTCCAAAAGGAGAGGGAACGAACTCTAAGAAATATGTCACGAGCGTTAGGAAAAATGTTAAGATCGAGAAGAAAACATAGTTTGGGAAATATGTCAGACACAATAGCGGAGTATTGTCCTACAGAGCCCACGGAAAAGGTAAAACCGCAGTCACTCTTTAATAAATACAATTCGATTTCTTATCAAATACGTGGTACATGGTATTCCAATGACTTAAAGCTAAAAACATGAATGTCGTTATTTTCAAAAAAAAAAAATCAAAATATTGAAATGTTTTTCAAAATCAGAAGTACAAAATTGAAAATGTATGAAAAACTGAGTAGAGATAATTGCGACGCTGTATCTTATTTAACTGTTTAACTGTATGAATTTGAATACAAATTAAGTATAACTTTCATGAATAATTCAAAGCGTAGTAAATTTTACAAAAACAAAAGCAGAGTTCATTTTAACGTTATTGGTAATATGCTTGTTAGTACATCTTTAATAAGGACCATTGATTATGTCACTGTACAATGACAGGTGTATGCACATTACATGTACTCCACATCTTAGACTGACCGATAAGACTAAATCAATGACAATTCTGAAGGCTCGGTGTTTAATTCCTGCTGGGGGATGTTTACATAATCTCGACTTATCCGTCTAATTCCCTCCGGTAATCTCTGTTCTGGCAACAAGGAATTTACATGTAATGTAACAGAATGACGTGTTTACATATCATAGTTATCAGGAACTAAGAACTGTCATGTCACTATCATATCAGCTACAATCCTTACATTTTATTACAATTACTAACGCCTAAATTGTTGTGTGAACATAGAGAACCGACGAAAATACCGAACAAAAAAAAAATAAGAACAAAAGAAAGAATTACACGAACACTTAATAAAATTACAAGGAGAATAAGACAAGGTGTTCCAAACAGATAGCTTTTTTCCGCTTCATCGACGACACCCCCAATACAAATCTTGATCAATTCAAGGAAGTAATGTCACGTTCCCAAACGAGAACGAGGTGTACAACAACGGAACTAATGGCTTTAACATTGCATTTCAATAGTTGCTTAGTTACAACAACCTCAATTACATTTCTTATTCACTTTAAGATATCGCTGGACTTACTATTATTTCGTATAAAATGTACTTAATTACAGTCCCAAACTCAATTTTGCACTAATATAGTTCATGTAATTAAAACTCTATAAGTAATCATATTTACGTCTCGCTTAAGGACATAATAATCACAGTATAAATAATCGTGTTAGTTCTAAATTATTTATCTTAATGGACATTTAAAGTATCATGACGTAATGACGGCAATGTGATTTGTGATTGCATTGCTCTGAAATCGAATGACTCATTGTTTTAGGAACACTTATTGTTTCACTTTACTATTTAAAAGCCCTATCTAAAGTTCAGAAGGATTGCCCGAACTGTGAGGCTTTTGGCAAGGATACTGTTGGCACTGAAAAGGTAAATACTATTGAACAATATATCTGTATGTATGTTATAAAGAGTTTAACGATTGAAATAAGTCAAAGGTTGATTAAAAGTCAGTGTTTGCCGGACTATTGATTTGAAAAGATTCACGTTGCTGGGCATATTTGCATTGTACAAATGTAGACGCCGCAAAAGAGATAACATGACCTTTGAAGTAGAGTTATTGTGAAAGAATAAATATCCTCAAACGAAATGACGCTTAGAAGTTTTACATTGCGTAAGAACAAAAATATGTTAACCTTTTCTCTATAAAGACATACTGTGAGTGATTGTGGAAATATGTAACTACATTGTGTTGTATGATGTATATAGATTGATATATATTTCCTTGACTATAACAACAGCTCGTGCACTATTTCTTCAATAACGTGTGAACAACTAAGTTTACTTTCCCCTGCAGGGTGATCCCTACTACTTTGCTAACTGTCTTGTTTTTTGTGGAATATCTATGTTCCTGAGTGTTTTAGGGTTCAGTTTGTGATATTTCCTAGCATTCCATTTTACATATCACAAGATTTGATAAATAACATTCTTTAAAAAAATATGAAGAAAATTATGTTCTTCTTGACAAGCAAACTCTTCAGTGTCTGTGTTCCTGTAATTTCTGATATTTGTCTTTCGAACCTAAGTTAAAACAAAAATGACGTTGCATTGCGTTTCTTTCGGTTTGAATAGTTACGTACGAGAGCCAGATAGAAGTGAGTGGTCCTTTATGGAAATGTATCTACACGTTCGCGACGACCTCCACAAAAAGGTCGCATTTAATCCTCACAGTTACGTCAAAGTTGAACCGGTGAGCTGTTAACATCGTTATAAATAGTTGAGTCTATCGACAGCAAAACGTTAAAATCTTGACAATAAAACTAATAGATGGATTTTATCAAGCTGAAACGCAAAATTAGCATGATAATTGCTTCAGGTCTATTTTTATTTTTTAATTATAATTCATTGTATAATTTATGTTTCATTACTATGGAAAATGCATGTCATTAGCCAAATTTTTTTCATATATAAGATGCTATTTATCTGAAATATCATATTTTTTCATTTATTTCAACAATGCCACACAGAAACGAGACAGGCTGAAACGGTTGCTCTCCATTCCTAAAGGAACACGGACTCTTGATGATGTGAAAATGGTAGGTCCAGACTCTGAAAATTCACTACAATAGCATGTAGGCCGGTTACAAATATACCTTTTGATCAGATTATTGCACTTTTTGCTCTATCTATCAATCTTCTTTGGTAATTTAGGCTGAATCTTTTCTATCTTGTTTCCTCCGGAGTTTTTACAGAAGCGCCATCATGTGTTGAAATATCTCCTAAATTTTGTGTGTATAGATTCTCAGCCTGATGCGAGATAACACTTCATTTAAAGACTATCCAGCCCATACCCAGATACACTTAGCAATGTGTATGGAATACCAGACGTAAGTTTAATGATATATTTTTATCGCATGTTGTTAAACGACAGAAAATTAGTAACAAATCAGACTGTTAGACTTCTAACTGCAAATGTATTGTTGCTGATCAATACAAAATCGCATAATATGAAATATAACCTAAAGCAGATCATCTGTAGACATTTCACAGAGAGTTCTATTATAGCACGATGCAGATTATACAAATGTACTTGTTATAGTGAATTTACAAAATATATGAAAATTACTAAATTTATTGAATGATTGGGCTAGTGTACTTGGACATCTAGACATTGGTAGTTATTTCAATACTTGATTTTCCTCATTAGCTTCCACTAGGTTTTGAAACTTTAGAGCCTTTAGAATCACTAACGAGTCCTAGAAGGTATAGTGCAATTTATTTTATTTTTGGCCATACATTTGTAGAGGTGCTATTCACATAAATGTTGTTCGTAAATCTTTATCTTTGGTATTTGTGTGATAGATACGAGGCACGACGTGTAATATTGAGACAGGGTCACATACCATCAGCCTTCTATATTATGTTGTCTGGAGCGGCAATTGTCAACACTAAAGACCTTAATCCTAGCACTGGAAAACCATTTTTCCGAACTGTACATGAAATCGTAGCTGGGGACATATTTGGGGTAGGTAGAGTGAAGATTACTTCAGTAGTGAACTGAGGAGACAGTAAATATCAGTATAAATCACAGGTTTTTACCCGAAATTAAAATGGAACCTTAACTTTAATTAATTACATGAAGTTCAATCTTATAATGTACGTTTCAGCATCATAGTTTCTAGAAGTTCAAAGATAACCAAACTACTTCTTATCAAAAAAGAAGGTTGCAAAACAAAGTTTTTTATGATAGAATTATCGACCGAAATATAATATGGAAATTGCTTTTTGTTTTAAATTTTGTCATTTGACAATATACCAATTGTGATGATCAGGTTTTGACTACTTGTTTTTCACACTATTACGATAACAAGTATAATGTATATATTTCAGGAAATAGCATTACTAGAAAGCGGAAGACGAACAGCTACTGTTATTTGCAAGACCCCGTGTGAACTGTTAGTAGTTCAGAAAGAGGTTTGTTGATCGCGTATTTTGTGGATCCTGTTGAAATTTTGAACATAAAGTGAGTTCATCAGTCAGTTTTATCGATTTGAGCATGATGTAATGCTGGATTGAACCCTCAACAGACAATTTATTTTTACTTTTCTTTGTTGCCGATAGATAATGTGGTCTAAGTCAATAATGCGTTAATTTTATTGTAATGTGTAAAGTATAACGGATGAGCTATAAACTGTCTCAGTAACAAAATGCGACACTTTTGTTGTACTACAGTGTTATAATAAGTAAGTATCAATTCTTTTTGTAAAATGTTATTATTAATATACAGGAAAATGCGACTTTTTATTTCACATTTTACAGGATTTTGACGAAATAATCAAAGTCCCACTTATGCTGGAGAAGGTGGAGCATATTAACTTTTGCAGGTAAGTAAACCTTTTTATACCCTTAAGGCTCGTCCTATTTCCTTTAATATTTAGCACGTGTAAGCTAATTTATTTAGAGCACACAGGCTTCTTTTCAGGATTGACTTCATTTTCAGGATAAAATAACGACCGTATTGTATTGAAATGTTTCAGCAATTGTTTTACCAGCAGCAGATACATTTTACTATTCCATCTTTTTAATTTTATCTATTTTTTTATCTATTTGCATTTCTTTTTTTTTTTTTTTTTTTTTAAGTTTTCCGGTTTTTGAAAACACCTGCACTTTGAAAAGCCGTGTGTGTAAAATTCATATTATCCACCAAGGGGAATTTCCCTATACACCGTTTGTCTATTTTTAAGCTAAACTGTCCCACAAAAGAAATAGAAGACGATATGGTATTAAAAAAGCGTTCATTAAAATGACTATTTCAAAGTATTCAGTACTGCATTGAATAATATGGATCGTTAGTGGTATCCACTGGGGTTAATGAGGAGGGCTTGTTATAACATGTAAGCTATAACGACAGTCATTTGGTAGTAATGAAATGAAGATTTTTTTTTCATTTTATTTGATAATACAAGTTTGGTTTTTTATTTGTTTACAGAGATCTACCAGTGTTTAGAGATTTCCCTTGTGAGGTATTCGCAGACCATACTAGTGGATTCTTCTATCAGTATTTCAGGTATTGAATTATTTTCTATTTAACTTTTTTAATGTCTTCATCTTTTTTTAATTATCAAAAATAATTGATATGCGATGAGTTGATTCAGTACAATATACTCACTTTGATGTTAATACTGTTTGCATCAGGAAAGGTGATGTAATCGTCAAAGACAGCAGAGATAGCAAGTTTGTCATCGTCGTGGCAGAGGTATGTATATTTAGTATATACACCAGTTTTATACTTATATATTACTTAACCGGAATACTACGTCATCAGTATAAATCTTGTAAGCAACGTACGGCAGACGTAGTCCGTGAACTTTTAGTTACATTAATGGGCTATGATGTCTGCAACGATTTACGAAATACCTTGTGATCGACATTGGTTTTTAAGATAATAGACCGACACAGGTTATATACGATGAGTAGGCCTCTAATTAAGGTCCAAAAACAATTGCAGTATTCATTTATTGAAAAGCAATCAATATTGAAAGAAGTTACAATACCCCGATCAAAAAAATGAAATCCATATGGAATAAAATAAAACATAGATAAAACGAAAAATGACCCTTGGTTAAGTGAAATTGGTCTTGAATGAAGTAGAAAATGACTACTCTTCTGAACCATCTGGCCTTATCGCCATTTTCATTTCCAGCGGTCTCCATGTTAGCCTCTCTTTTCTGCATATTTGCATCGGTTTTATTGAATTAGGGTTTGAATTATGATTATGTTGACATGTTGGTATTTTCTTCTTGTTTAATAAAAAAAGACTTGTGATTAAAAGTGTATTTACATATGTAGGGGGCGTGTCTGATGCTTAGTGATGTCATAGAAACAGAGGCAGACCGCACGCATGGTCCAATGTTCGCAAAACACATGGAACATGCATTCCCTCTTTACACAGAGATGAGAAAAATACGGGCAAAAGCCAGACGCCAAAGTGAGTGATTTTATTTTACACTTTCATGGAAATCTAAATAAAATGTCTTGTGAAAAGTGCATTGTAACATTGTCTTATAACGGATGTATTTTGTACAATCAATGATTTACAGTTCAGACCTGGAGTCAAAGGATGTTAAGCTTAGAGCTAATATTGATTGAAAAGTTGTGAGTCTCATATTAAAGTGTTGCATTATTTTTCAACATAAACCACTTCCCTAGTTAACTTCTTCAATACAAGGCTTACAACTTACCAATCAGTACTCGTATGTATAAGTGTATATTAGTACTTTGAATGTAAAATAAAGACATATATGCGTTAGGAATAAGAAGAATTATATTCATTTTCTGTGTTTAATTTTAGAAACCGATGACTCTAATGAGACGTCACTTGGCGTCAGTCTGCTCACAGGGACGCTTGATTCGTATAAACAGGAGGCTAAGACAAACGTACGTAAAATAGTGAGAAAAAGGAATGGGAATTATGATGATCCAACGTCTGAAATTTTCAATATTAATTTTTTTCTTTTCATTTTTTTTTTTTTTTTTTTTTTTAATTTATTTTTTGATGTTTTTTACAATGCTTTTAAGTTAATGAATTAGTACATTATGTGTTCATGTGTACTAAATTTGAAAAGATAAGCAGATAAATTAATGTTGTTTTTATCATCATGTAAAATACAGGAACATCGTTTCATTGAAAATGTATAGACGTTGTTTATTGATCAATTGTTTGTCCAGTTCAATCGGATTTTAATCGATTGACAGGAATATTTGAGGTAGAGTATGTCTGCAGATCTTCTGTGATCCTTGGACAATTTTAGACATATTATTTTATGCTTAAAAAGGGAGACAATTCCAAAGGTTAACACAGTTGTGAGATTGCAAAACTTTATAGGATGTGCAATGCGTGCACGGTGTATGCGTGATTAGCGCACAATAGGAAAACTGGGCGATTACGTTATGGCACATCTGTGCGCATGTTTTGCAGTTCTATCGCACAGATATGCGATTTGTTTGTGGTTGATATAAGTTCAGAGATAATGTATAGCTAAGTGTTGGATCGGGTCTTTCTATTTTCTAATCTATACAAAATGTCAGGGTACAAGTAAGTATATTTCTTAATTAAGCCATTAATCTATAGGTTGGACATATGTAGATCTATCAGATACAGGATGCATTTTTATCGTAATTTAAAATGCTTTGTTTATAACGTGCTACACGCGATCAGTCTTAGTGCACAGCCACTTATCATTCATGAATATACATTACAAATGTAAACATTAAAGGGACGTCTCATTTTGTCTCGGCAATTAAACTTCTAAAATCTCATACCTTCGAAAAGAATTTTTCATTTCAGTTACATCTGTATAACTCTTATTTTTTTTCACTCAGTTTGTGAACAAATAATTTATACTCAAGTAAATCTAGAGTGTTTTGCTTGTTACACAGCTTGTTATACAGCCGGTATCCGTACACAGATAATTTTGTCGAATTAGATATGACTTTTATAATTATCGATCAATTTAAGTCATAACTATACGGGTTTTAGGTTTAATTTTCTATCTGTCATATAAACCAAACATATTTACTGAACAGCACCAACTGCTTTATCCTAAACTAGTTTCTCTATAGAGCGTGTGTGCGGACAGTGTCCGCATGAATGTTTTGCGTTGTGCGTTACCACAATTTTAGCAAGGCGTTATAGTACTCGTAGAGATATTTCACCATCTTATTCTACAGATTAGTTGCCATGTCTAGTATTCGCCACTAAATTTTATAGAGAGTATTGCCTTTTCACTTTTTTTTCGGTTGAGCATTCATACACTATCCAATTCTACTGAATAAGATTGCATATCGTTTTAGCTTAGTCGGATGAATAGACGGAAATCTCGACACAATCTGCTCACGAGAAGTAACACGCTTGGATCACTCTCTGACCATACTGAAAAAGGACAAAAGACAAGTGTGGTAGGTAGATGAAGAGAGCTATTGTCGTTTCCTTCATAAGTGTAAATAAATTTCTAGCATAAATGAAGCGATTTGAATAAATGTAAGAGTTATCAAGTCTGTCTTTTATGTTCAGCTTCAAACTAGATAAGCTGTAGTAGTATACAGCTAGTAAGTCCGGGGGGCACTTTCTCAGTAAATCGGCTTTATCGAACACTTGTTACGTTTATTGAAAACGAATGCAACGTAATAATAGATGCACTTCAAATCCAAAGTATCATGTCAGTAATATTGATAATATCATAATATATATTAGTAGAATTGAGTTGCTGTAGATATAGTTTCATTCATGACATCTTCTCTCCAGGTTGAGGAGGCTACCACGCCACTATGGACAGATAGAGTGAGAGGACATACGCATCCTAATGGCTTCCGACACTCAGCGGGTAACGTCGCATTCCTACTTACAAAAATTTACATAAATGTTACACCTTGCTGCTTTTTATCTCTTAAAATACATTCGTTGTATTGTCACGATATCTATAGTAAATTTGACGTCACAGGTTTTTCATGATTCAAGTTTAATTCAAGAATGAATCGACATCATGAGATATTACTGAAATGTGTGTATAAATGATATATGTATATTTTATGAACAGATGTACATCGTAAATCTTCCAAAAGAGATTGTCAGCGTACTCAGTCACGGTCAGCCAACGTCACAAAGAGCAAGTTCAATGAGATACAAATGGTAACTGTTATCAAATAGCATATTAGGTTTTTTTCAAACCTCAGCATTTGACTGAAAAATTATACCGTTTCATCATCCAACTATCGATTTGCAGTACAAGTCAAATACATTATTGTCATTTTCAGTCTACCAGGTCCGTTGTTTAAGGGATTTTGTCTGTTCTAATTGGTACTTTGTGCATGTAACCAACACATTTTCCTTGTTCAATGCAGAATATTTCAGTGCAAGTTAATGGAATTTAAAATGATCAAAATAGCAATAGTATTTAGTATAAGTGTTCAGTTAATGTTAAAGTAAGACTTACCAAATTGTTACGCTAACGATCTGTTTCAGATAGCGGATAGCAATATACCACCACAGCCAGGTCACCACCATCATCATCATTTCTCAGAACCTCGCATACTTCACGCTCAAATTTCTGAGCTAAAGTCAGGCTCCGTATTTGTAAGTTTACAATCACAAAATCAATGTGAACCGACACTAAATGTAGTTAGATATTGTTGTCATTATCGTCGCTAATTATTAGTCAAGCTTTATTCAAAGTAAGATTATTTAATTTTGAAGGAAACTGAAATATATTTATAAAATGTTTACAAATGTCTAGGGTTTGGAGGCTCTCATTTCCCGCCCGTCTACAACGTTAAGCCTTGTCAGTGACGGAGCCGAGTGTATCTTCATTTCTAAGAGGCTGTTTTTGAGGGAAGCTAATATAAAAGTCCTACGTATTGTGACAGACTTGGTATGTATATTTAACATGTCATCATATCTTGTTGAGAAGTACAATAATCGACAATCATTCAAAATTTCACAAGTAGTTCATATCGCTGTTAATCTCAAGTAAGAATTTTGAAGGAAAATAATCATATTTATTTTAATTTTTCCACTTAATTTTGATATCTACACATGATTAAGTTGTACACTAAGCAATGTGAGTATAATTGCAGGTACACAATCATCCATGTCACGACTATATCAAAGAACAAATCTATACATACCGGAAATGGAGTAAGTACAAGATGGATACCGTGCTGGATGTAGTTGACAGACATCGTAATATGGAGTTTGCAATAGTTGGAGGAACGCCAGATAAAAAGTTTCCAACACCAAGTGAAGTTTATAACTAATATCACGATATATAATTGAAGAGACGATAGGATGGCTGTATCATACAATATATCACAGCTCGTTGTATGTTTGTGTGTGAGCTTTCTATGTCGAGTACGTGGTTTGCCTAAAACAATTGTTTTGATTGGGCAATAACATAAATAATTATTCAACGCCTTCATTTTAAGATATTTGATGATTCGAGAGTATATGGACCCCTCGTCTCTATTTGCATATGACCTAACATGTGGTTCACAGATGACGTAAATTACTCGACGCTTGGAAAGATTTCTTCTGTGTTACACGTTTTTGGAATTATCAGCTGGAATGGTCCGTGATTGTTCATGAATTTATCACGACTGCCGAACGTCTACCTTTTGACCTAGTGTGTTTCATCGTATCGCATATTAACCTTTCAAAATTACACTTGTACACGTTATCTGTTTTCTTGTGCGTGTTGCTTTCTTATTTATGGCTGTTCTAAAACGTTCCAGGGTGTTGATTCTGTTCCAGTTACTAATCACAATAACACACAATCAACTGGATAACAATACTACATCAATGGTTACTAAAAAACCACCCTTAACCTGCTTTACCATCACTGACCACTTTCAATGTTGATATTCTACTATACAAAACGCCATAGAACTGGTTTCGATTCAGTAATAATCATGTAAATACTCAGAACGCTAGTGTTCAAAAAAATTACTTGTTTTGTCGAATGAGGACGTCACTTATAAGCAGATCACACGTTGTGCTATATAGCTACTAATACAAAGGATAGCAACCAAACTGGAAGAGGCATTCCGGAAAACCGACAGCTGTAGATGATCAATCATCCGAAATAAATACATCTTGGTTGCAATATAGTTGGTAAGAAGTGTATTGAACGACTCATCGATGACGTTGGTTGTAGAAAAAGCAACAGACAGTAGGAAATGATGTTCATCCTACCTAAACTGTTTATAACATGCGTCATTTGTTCAATTATAGTTGATGTAGTAATTTTCAAATATATTTTCTCTTTGTATTCCGTGTCGTTGAAATAATTGTCCTACATGTTACACTTATACATGTTAAATAGTGTACAGTTACGTTGTTTTTTCTACTTTTTGTCACGTTCAGTTGACAGATAAACAAACTTTTAAATTCATTGTTTTTGACGAACAAATGAGTAAGTGAGAAAGGTGTAATGTTAAATAATGATTTTCAAATATAAATATCTTTAAACCGTAGTACTTAAACTGATATAGCTATGGATTTCAGCATATAAACGTCTTAACAGCTGAAATTAATAGAAAAGAAAAATATATATTTAGATAGGTTTTCATCCCAGCTGTCACGACAGGGTCATTTTTGTTCAAAATAAAACTCGTCCAGAACTTTTATACATGCTCTACAAATATATTGGATATTAAAGAAATTACAAAATATGCGTTTAAATTGCTTTATTATTAAGATCCATTACAGAAGGTATCCTTCATATGGATGTCAAGTGTGTGCCACGGCTCTCAAGTCAGTTCGTGGGGTTTCCTTTGGTTAAAATAAAAGTAAACAGTATCCATATAGATTAGTAGTAGTACTGTTCTAATGGGACAGCTGTAGGCATACAGTGTATGTAAACAAATCTATATAACAATTACCATTGTATGATAGATTCCGTTTATCATTTACCAGCAGTACTATTTATCTATTATATGTTTTCAGAAGAAATCTAACAGATTAACAAGGTGATCATATATATGTCAATTATTCTAAGTCATAAATAAATAATGATTTAAAAAGTGAACAAGTAAAGCAATTGAATTGAGAAGGAAGACTATGCCAACGTCCATAAGAAACACAATAACAAAAGATATGACCCGGTAAAGTTAACATAATCCTTATAGAATCCTTGATTAAGTACAACATGATCATGTAATGTTTTCCGCAACTGATGTGTCATCCGACACAGCGCCAATGATTTCATTCACTTTAGAGCAAAACGATAATAGTACGAGAAAACAATCAGTTTAATCTTACAATTGATAGAAAGTCGAGAAAAGAACCAAACTACCATACCTCCACAGCATGACCTGCATTTTGGACACTCACACGTTGTTGAGCATTGGCATTTCCCAATAATGTACGTGTAAGCGGACTCGCATGCATTCGTGCAGGTAGAAACAGATACTTCATCTAGTAACAAGTAATAGGAGAATGTCTCATTGTTAAGATAAACCCGAAGAATGTGCGAATATGATTTTCTACTCTCGGTGATATTGTGAAAATATCATACGATGAAGGAGGTGATATATGTGATCAACAGATCAGGTATACATTTTGTAAATAATAAGTTTCATTTTAACAAAGATGAACGAAGATTATAAGGTACTACAAAAGACAAAATGAAATATCGACTCTGTTAAACAGGAAGTAAGATTACCTTAAATTCTTACCTGCACAACAAGTACATTTAGTCTGTTTACATTCCGAACCACGGACTTCTTTGGTGCATTTGCACTCGCCGTTACAGCAATATCCATATCCGGCCTGTTCAGTTTTTTCAACATCTGACAAAATGTATCATTTAGCAAAATGAGATCACTAAGGAAGACTTTTATGTTTCTGTTATCATGTTCCTCTTTTTGCTGCTCTCTCTGCTTTTACTTTTTTAAGATTTCTTCAAAAGAATGTCTCTTAATCTTCATTATATCATATTTGAAAGCCTCGGGACAATATCATGAAAAAATAAAGTATCCTTTTACCTTCAAAATACGTACCTGCCATAGTTAAGGTGTAATATCTGTGGGAGAGGTGTATCAGTATAAAGCCACTGACGGTTCAAGTCACTGAAGTTTTGAAGCTGCATTTATAGGTACAAGGTCACATTGTGGCATCGGAAATTAATGCGTTTACATTGTCGATGTTCGGGAATGAGGTATATTGGTTCGTATATTGTCAGAAGATGCCTATAGGGAATCTAATTTTAATTTAAACTATTGTATGGTTATGTCCCTGCAGGGGATAAACGTGGAGTACGTCATTGAAGCATTTAGTCTTAGCACTGTATAAAGGTAAATTACATTTAACCTGTTCTAAACTTGAAATTCTGATATGATGTCAATTGCATGTTTACAGTTAAAAGGATAATGTAAATGACAGAACAGAGATTGGATTTAGTGAAGATACAAAAGGATAGATAATGCCATGCCTCTAATTGGAACTGATAGCACTACGGCTACTGTTATCAGTTCATATATTAATGCCGTAATTTTGTCCTGCGTTCTTTGAATGGGATGAATACAAAAATAATTGAGATACAACACTGTAACTCACGTTGGAATTTTTTCAAATAGTTGCACGGTTCAGAATACATACATTACCTGACGTTCTTCTGAAATATTCAACATATAAAAATTACTTTAGGGCTTGTGCACCTGCCCATCTACACAACTGTCGATTTCCCTCTATCGCCTCCTATGTTTCCAAAAAATAGGCTTTTAGCATCACTGATGAGTCCTTGTAGATCAAAACAGCTGTATGATGCAGTTTAATTCATTATTTGGCACTACGGTTTGTAAATTAAAACTTTAATGTTGTAATGCTGATGATTCATATATAATTAAGGAATTTCTTTGTTAGAATAATAGGTGTATCTCACGGTTTTAATTCAAAAGCTTAAACGAATATTTTCGGTATACTTTCAGTATATGTACAACACTTTACCACGAATTGTTAAATTCAAAACATGAAATGTATGTCTTTATCGCTTTGAAAGACATCATTTTCTTTCTTTGTTTTTTAATAAGCTTCTTTTCCCACTTAATAATGGCATCCACGGTCAACTTCATATTCCAATCAGAAGTAGTTAATAGAATATTTCTGTTGAAGTCCGTTTTCCTCTATCGTGAACATGGTGTATGATGAATGATGAGTAAGCGTCTTCTGCTTCATCGACGACACCCGCTATGTAAACCTTGGTCAATCCAAGTAAGTAATGTTACATTTTCAAATGAGAACGATGTATAAAACAATGGAACCAACGGGCAAACTAACGAGCATCAAACACGTCAATCGTCATATAACACAAACAACTTCAAAACATTCGAACATATTTCAACTACCATCATGTCAAAAACAACGTAACACAAAATATAAACACACGAGAACGCCCAAAATTATATTATTAAATACATTACTTTTATTGAGACGAATAGTATAAAAAAAAACGTATCATAACATCCGATACACTCTATAGGCAACAACAGTATGATAATGACTTAATATATCAATATGCGATCAGCGTTAATTGTTTTATTCAAGAGGGATTCATTAGGTGATGAACCCTAGAAATAATCACTATCATGGCGGCATGTATCAAAGGTATACTATAGTGGGTGTACCATTTCGTGGAACCATCACGAAGGAAAACAAAAGTTGACATAGAAAGTCCATCAACTTATTCACATTGTCCATATTCATATTACATAACTCAATTCTTAATCACAAGTTTATCAATATTATCACAATAAATTTCGTTCAATGTATATAAGACGTATTTGTAATTATTATACAGTGTATATCACAGACAAATAAATCGGACTGTAGGACATTTCTCGTGAAATATCTATATGTACATAAGTTAAATTATCCAGTATTGCTTTTCGAAGTAAATAAATAACCATCACATTATGGGGTATGCCCTCTTAATTCCACCGATAGTATTCTACGGCAGTGCTGGTCGATATATCCGGAAGACAAGTTATTTCTGTTTAATAAAATGCCAACATCTGTATTTACTTCAACTTCTCAAGTGACTGCAACACTGCAAAAGAAACAGCCTGTCATTGTCTCAGTAAGATCGTTACTTCTATCAGTACACCCGTTTTCCCTTTAATACTGAAATGTGGTCCTGGTATGGCCAGATTAAACTCGTACACCACTCGTCAAATAATGGTTATCACAGTCACACAAATATAGATAATATTTATAATCACTATCACAGATAATGGTATGCATCTTCATATGCATGGCGTTTACTTTGCCTGTCTATTCAGTAGGTCAAGCATGCAATGATTTTCTTAGAAGCTAAATATGGATAAGGGTACATTAAATTTGATACCTTAGATATCTTAAATCACTGTATGTGATTATTTAGAACATAAAGTCGTTTATCTGGTATGCTTTAAACCCAACAAAAATAACTTTGAAACATGCGTTACCTTAATATCAAATGAATTATTTGTCCTAGCACCTGTTTCACACACAAATCACATGACAAGTTCAGGATTTAAAGTTCAGGCTAAACATGCTGCCGAAACTAGCAATGCTACTCAAAGAGGATCGTCTGGAGAGGTTGGCCTTCATGGATGGACTTTTATGATATAGTAATTCCACTTTTCCTACAGGCTGTATCATGTTCAAACTTATCTTATTCATACGCCATTCTCGTCGTTTTGCATCTAATGGCGTCAGTCCTTTCTGAGAATGACAACTTGTGCCAGAGCTTTTTCGTTTTTCCTTCTTATTTCTGCAGCATCTCTTACAAAACTCTTTCAATTTCTTTCTCTTCTTTATACATATTACCATTACAATGATAAGTACAATAAGTCCCAGAAAACCAGCAATGATGACAATTATGTACGTCGTGTACTCAGGTAAGGCAGATGTTGCAACTGAAAGACATAGATATCATTTATATGTTTAGATAATACTACATCATATCTTAACATTTAGCTCGTGTATCATAGTACGGCATAAAAAACAAACAGTGACTACTGTATATCTTTAAGTCAGCTCAATGTAGCTTTGAGACGGAACTTGAACTTACTTTTATGTAAACATGTGATGTATTGAACAAACATTGAAAAACATAGTCTTTTCAACTAAAAGATGTTACTAAAAAACGAGAAAAAACTTACCACAGGTTTCTGTAGAAAGAAAAAAAATTAAAAGAATTATTCTTTTTTTTCAAAATAACACATTCTTATTCCATACAAGAATATTTATCGGTGGAATTATAACCATATTGGTAGAAACAAAAAGCAATAATAAAGAAACAAAAAAGCGTTAGTAAATTTGTTATCCGGCATATGCCAAAGATTTAATTACTTTAACAGGTATACTTACCAACATTATTGTAAAACATTAATGGTAATATCGCAGATTTCAAGGGCCATACTAAAGAATTATCTATTTTACTGTTACATTTTGTATTAACTGACTAAAAGCTTACCTGTTCTAGCGGAGTAGACATAAGCGATTCCTGGACTGGTGACAGACGTAGAGGTCTGGCTGGAATCTGTGCAATAGTTAGGGACCTCTGTAGCGTATGTTACATCACCCGTCTGGGAAATTACCTGTTTTTATAGAGAAAATTTATATAGGAAATAATCCGTTAATAAATATAGAGAAAATAACTTGTCAATAAAGATAATTCATAGATGAAATACCTTGTCTTATAAAGGAGAATTATAGAAGAAATCGGCTGTCAAGGGAGATAATTTTTAAATGAAATAGTCAGTCAATAAAGAGAATTTTTGGAGTAAAAACCTGTCAATACGAAGAGTTTTATAGAGGAAATAGCTTGTTTATAAGTACAATTATACGTAAAGAAGCATATCAATAAAGAGGATTTATAGATGAAATAGACTGTTAATAAATACAATTATATAGGAAAAAGCATATCCATAAAGAGGATTTATAGAGGAAATAGACTGTTCATAAAAGATCTGTAGTGGAATTTGCCTATCAGTAAAGAAAAAATTCAATATAGAACAATCCATATATTACAAATCGGTGATTTGCGTGTTGTTTTGATACATTTCTCCCATCAGTGTACATAATTATGTTGCATTCTTTTTGATTCGATGTTAAAAATAAATATATCACTAAATTGTATAGAATGTAATATATAATTGGAAATTTTTAATAATCTTTCTAAACTAAAATGGAATAATAGTGTGAGACACTCATATTTGTAAACGTAAAATTCAATCAGCTCTGTTATGATTATAACTACAAATATTTATTCGCGGACATCAGATCCACTCACAAAGCAGCTAAATCTGTAGGTGGTCGAGCCGTCCACTGTGACGTCATTGTTCCACACGGAGAGATAAGTAAAATTGTCATTGATGATAGAATGTAGACAAGTCAAGGCACCACCACCTGTAATAATGGTAATTAACTGTAACACAGATATCAGTAAGTCGTTGATGGAGGACTTACTTACACACCATGTGTAGATAAATTATACTTTCTGTGAATAAAATATCCAGAAAAGCCATTGAACATAGACGTGAAAACTAAACCTCAATAAAGTTTACGTTGTGAATCTATCTAGCATACCTTTTTCAATTATTTCGCTTTTCAAGTTAAACCTATAATTCATTAAGGTCGTGCTATTAGTGGAAACGATCTTTGTGTACAATTTATTGTCATCGAATTTAGAAATAACTGTCCTTAGTCGTTATTAGATTATGTGAAAATAAATCACGAACAAAAATTGGGTAGACTTGTGTTAGTTCTTCACAATAAGCTTTCACTAATACGTTATCTCCTACGTTCCAAGAGTTCTTAGAACGTTCGCACGCGCTTGAGCATTTGGAACTGAAAAAGATCTCCATCTTTTTCTCCAGTCTGACCAATATTTAAGCGAATTCGTTAAACATTCTACTCTTGTTTTCCCATTCAAATAAAGCAAAAACTGTCCATTTATGTATCATCTCAAATCTGTCCATACTCACTTGAGAATACAAGACCTGACGTACACGAGGCATGTGTGTGGTTCATAATTGTTTTGTCAGTACAGGCGTCAAACGTGCTTCCGGTGCATGCCGTACTTCCATCGGCATTTGATATTGTAACATTTTCGTATTTAGCTAGAAATTGCTCTGGACAAGTGGCCTCAGCGTGTCCGGATTCTAGGGACCCTATTACAAATAATGATAATATTTTTCGTAAAAGTCTTTTTAAACAGTTGATAGTAACTCTTAATTTTAAATTGTTTTAAGCACAAGTTAAAGTCACAACAAATAATTATGAAGTGAATATCAATTTAAGTTCTTCGTCTCATCTAGAGACCATGTTAGAATATAATAAATTGACACACATTTTACAAAAAATATCCGAAATCCGCCCTATTTCACACCATTCACGAAAACAGTTACAATATCCTACCGTTTTTGATAAGCGTGATGAAGGCTCCATCGTGGTAAGGTTCGGGCTCGTTACAGGCATCCGCCATGGCCACGGTCAAACCGTCCACCCTTGCGTATATATTGTCGTTGTTGGTAGAACTTAATTCTACAATGCAATACACAACTATATACAACAATGTAACAACTATATAACATATGTTATATGGATATTGTTTTATTGGACATGTCGGCTTAGTGTGCACGATTATTGTATACTGAGGTGCCAAACCAAGCATACAGGAAATTTGAATTTTACAAAAAAAGTGTAAATAATCAGAAATCTGATTAACAACATTATCTAATTGTATAATTTAACGTATTTAGCCAATACATTGATACCAGCTACATGTTGGTAATTAATATCTCTACTGGAAATCTCATCAATATATACTCACTTTTGTTCTTTAGCATATAAAGAATGAATATATTTTTATCAGAAATAAAACGTAATACTTGTTAAAATGAAAGTTAAAAGATTACAGAAGATTGGCCTGGCAGAATAATCGTCATAATATTTTTTGTTGTCAAAACAATTTCTTGTGAAATATACTATAATTCTTTACCTTGATTCGTTAAGAAGTCTATACTTTCTTTATTTGTTTTGTATAAAAAATATTGTGGTTTTATACTGGATTGTATTGTTACATACTTGTCCCCATGTAGTAGTAATATTTGTACTGGGACACTCTCCGTAGTTCTATGCACAGGTATCCCCTGTAGTCGTCTCTAAAAATGAACGCTGTTTCTGTCGCCCTGTGAGACGTCGAAGAAATCATGCAACTTTAATCAATAACAACATCATATCATGAAAAGTAGCATTAATAATTATCACACTACCAGGGCAACGCTGTCAAATATAACACGATTTTCCTCTTTTTCTGAAACTCCAACATTTTATTTTAATCCAGCCTCTATAAAGATATCACAGACAAGTATATTAAGTTTTAAAATACGTTACCGAAAACAATGTATCCTAACTTGATACTTTGTTACAAACACTATCTTGGAGATAATTACGAATGTCTTACCTGAGGAAGTATTTATAGCCACTCTGCTCTTCACATGTGAAATCAAGGGAGGTAACCAATGCTGACATGGCGATAGGATAGCCAAACAGTGTTGTTGAGTTGAAGGTAAGAAGGCCTTTGTGGGCGCTATACCAAGCACCATCTACCTCAGAAGGGAAAGTACACGCCCCGCCTAGAAGATTGAGTTTAAGTTGAATATTAGATAATAATAGATTATCAAATTTTGTCTAGACATGTTGGAAGAAGAATTTAACAAGTGTAATATATTTTTAAAAACTTGGATAGATACAAAATTTCCTTTCAGTCTGACCATTTATCAGCAGTTTACATAAAGTACATAATGTTTAGTGTATTTTGGATGCAATATGATGTGCTTGATTGAAAAATAGATTTTGAAAAAAAAACGAAATCTTAAAGGTTCAAATATCACATTTCATCTTTATTTCGCCTGAATCTAGTCTGGATTATCAAATTTGATCAAGTATTGAAAGTACGGTTCTATTAATAATAAGACAAAATGTCATTATGTGAGAGGACTTCGGACCTGTAGAGACGTCCGGTAAATAATACGACAAGAGTGTTTTCAGTGGAACATTTGTTGAACAAGTCTCCATGACTAACTGTATTTATACTAGCAAAAACACCGTTTCACTACACATATGCTTTTAAGTCACACCGTTAGTCCATTTCACATATTTTACATCAGCATTTTCACAGGATCAGGTTTCAGGTTTCATCATTTCACCTATTTTACATCAGCATTTTCACAGGATCAGGTTTCATCATAGAAGTTGGCAGTGTTCTTGATACACGTACTTTAAATAACAGCTACTTGGTAGGCTACACAGTGGTCATCGTACTGTCAGTAGGTAGAATATAGTCAAAATACATCAATAATTACCAAGGTAACGCTCGCTATAGAAGTTTTAGGTTGTCCATTCTTTAGGTACCTGTCAACTTATCCGGATTTACGTACAAACTAATAACAAATTACTACCAAAATCCGGAATGAAGTTATTTCCCTTTAGGCCGTAAAATGATCATAAGTAGATCTATATCACACTGACCAGTAAAACATATGCTTAATAAATGTGTGATTGTATAGGGCTTGATGAGCAGAGTCAGTTTTCAAAATTGTTTCTCATGTTGCGCAAATTCGATGAAAATGATGAATACTCGCTGTCACAGGATGATCAGTACAAATGGACTGCAGGTTTTGGATACATACATTCCATTTTAAACATTTTATTTCATTGTACAATATTTAAATGGAATGCCGCTCAAACACGGCATAGTATATGTTTATTTTCAATAATAAAGACGATGGACAAAAGTAATCCGCCGTGCCGTAACAGCGACTGACACAGCTCGCTGCCGTGACCAGGATTCGAACCTGGGTTGTCGCGGCCACAACGCGAAGTACTAACCACTATACGATCACGGCTGTATTGGCGGATTTGATAATTGGTTTTATGATATTGATGCCTTTGTCGTTAAGGAATTGCAATCTTTATGTATCTAGAAAATAATTATTATGAGTAGCTTATAGAAATATCTAAATTAGTTGTTTTATACAGTATAAAATATATTTTCAATATACAACTTTTGTGGGATGAAACGTCATATCTTCATTTATCTAGTGCCCTTAAAAACCTGATTACCTAATACTGATATGAAGGCAAGTAAGGTCACTAATGATATAACGTCAACGCTAAGTCGGAATCACTTGACTTATGATAGTCCTCAGACACCATGTCGTATCGCAGTCATATTTCACGTTTATTGATTTTAGTCAACATTTTATATCTCCAAATGCTAAGACGAAAATTATCAGTTGTCAACGTGTTACTTAAAAGTTCATGCCTCAACAGTAATTCGCCTCAACACCTCAGCTCGTACAGTAACAAAACCTCAAATACAAACCTTTCTTGGCAGTTCGGCTTTTCCTACAGTCACGCACACAGAGACCATATTTTTATTCATCACGCGAAGAGCGTGTTTCTATAGGGTTTTTTTTATCTTATTTCGTGCATATTTTCTATTTTATACTATTGTAAGAAGAAATTCATTATTAGGCCATGTGTATGACCTGACATGATATAATGATCTATTCCTTTTTGTTTGTTTGTTTGTTTGTTTGTTACTGTTGAAGACGACGAGGAAGATTTATAAGAACAGTGTAAGTACAAGGTATGTGATTCATACCAAGGATTAAAGATTTCAAGAGAGCATGATCAATCAAATTATTTAGGTTACTGATTAATCTAGCATTTAACTTTACATTTTGGGGAAATTGTCTCTGCTCTGAACGTGGTTGCAATATCTTTAGGTATTTGGAACTTCTTAAACTCTTGATGTGAAGGACATAGATAGCCTTGTTTTCGGCATTGCTCCTCATTTTTCACCAACCTCATAATACGTTGCATTCCTTCTCATATTCCGTATGGCCTATCTTGAGACTAAATATAGTCTTCTTTTTCTACACATAGAAAAGCTGTACAATAGGTATGTGAGAGGACATATCTAGTCACCAAACCTCTATTGATATACGACCACAGTCGGCACATTAATTTCATTTTCCATCCATTGTCATAGAACTCCCAACGGCTTGTTCTTTTAAGTAAGAGACACCCCTCGAAGTACTCTGTGTTCTTGTTATTTCGAAATCAACTCAAACGATTGGAAAAACTTATTGGCAGTTTTCAATTTTTTTCCTGAATCTAATCATAGTCTTCCAGAGTTATACATGTACTGAAAGAGACATACACTAGCAACTGGAAAACGTGGTTAATTGTATTTAATTAAAAACATTAAAAACGAAATCACCTTCACAAAATGTTATTCACGCACTAAAACCTCTACAAAACTTCAAAATATTTTGAACAGCCAAACGCATGGTTTAAGTACAAAAGAGTGTTTTCAAACGTTTCCCAATTCCATACCACAATTTCACAGATGAACTCATTAAAAAATTCAGAATTGACAGCTATGCTTAAAAGTTAATTACACTAACCTAAAATGTACATTATAACGAATTAATAAGTGTTCGTATATTTGCTTCTTTGTTGCGTCCTGTGCTAGCTGATTCTTTGTCATGATTTTAAAAGTAATCCACCGTGCCGTAACAGCGACTGACACAGCTCGCTGCCGTGACCAGGATTCGAACCTGGGTTGTCGCGGCCACAACGCGAAGTACTAACCACTATACGATCACGGCCGTATTGGCGGATATAAATATCATCGTTTGAAATCTCGGTAATGTTTTTCGCAAATAAATTCTATTATTGGCGTCGTTACAAATCAAACTTACATCTTGGTAATGATGTTCATGTTTATTTTGTAAAACAATTAATTGTTTATCATATATATCGTATTAATAATTTTATCGACATATATTCTCAGGGGCGATGGCACGTCCTCGAAGCCTGATTACATAATACTGATATCGAGCTATAATAGGTCATCAACTAACACCACGTTAGTGTAAGGTTGAAGTCACGTGAGTGTTGATAGTCTACAAGGAAAATGGTGGAAATCCATGTCGAAGTAATGTTTTGATAATAATGATCCATTTACAAGTTAAGATATCTGAAAAGTCCATTGATGAGATGAAATGTCCAACCGTTTTACCAGCTGCACCAATAATCTCCTACATCTATGCTCGGATATATATTCATGTCCTTTCATGTGAACTTACAGATTTCTCTGCTAATGGTAACCCAACCGCTGCTTCGGTTAGACACTGATGACATGGAGCTCTTGAGCCTTCTGTTGTCAGCATCGTCAGGTGAATTCCAACCATCATCGGTTGTTTCGACCCCTATTCCACGACGTCCTCTGGTTGGCGGGTCAGCAGTGGTGATCAATCAATGCTTGCTGTTGTCTGGGCTCCAGTTTGGCTCATCTCGTCTACACCATAGCCAGCATGATGCTCTCTCAGCCCTTTCAGCAAAGGTTTTAATAGCTGCTTTCCTCTTTGCTCCTGTCAGTTCCACTTTCTGGAACATCTTCCATACTGACTGTGCAGGAAATCCTCTGGCACCTACCTCTGGAAACAGCCATGTGTTCCATCCCTTTTGTCTGCACTGCTCTACTAGCTCTTGTTATTTGCCAGTTTTCTTCTCATATGCCTCATCACACCCTTCTTCCCATGGAACTGTCAGCTCCACCAAGATGACCCACTGGCGCTGTTGCGACCATATCACAATGTCTGGTCTCAGAGTGGTATGCACTACATCAGGAAAGACGAGACGCTTGTTGAGGTCTACTCTCATTTCCCAGGATGGTGCTTGGCTGAGGACATTCACAAGATATGCAGTAGCAGTTGGTGGTCCCCTCTCTCCATCTATGCTGGGATATATCTTCATGTCCTTTCATAAACACATTGTAATATACATTTCATTTGCAGTTATGCATTTACAACCACGCATTTATGCGACAACAACTTGTTTTAATCATCACAGGAACCGAAAATCCTTAAAGAAATCTCTTGATTGGTTTGTTTTATATGCATGTTCAAGAATAAGTTTGGTCAGCAAAACTTTATCAAGTGATGAATCACAGATAATTATCTAACTCCTCATATGTGTATTTATTACTTATATTTTTTTCTAATACCATTTAAAACCGAAATCAAATTCTCCAGAACTGCTGTTATTGTGTCCTTCGTTTCATATATGATATACTCCTCAAAATTCCCGTAGGTCTATCCATCACATTCACCTATCATTTTCTATTGATCTGTGCGGCACAAGCATCGCTTAAAACAGATATGTTCCTACCATAATTATATGTCTCCGATGGATGTCATGATACCGTGTGTACTGAAGTAGAAGCTATTTTGATTGGTGTCTAAAAGGCTTGTCGTTTTAAATTAACGTCTCGAAATGTAGACAAAAGCTGAGTTTGATTTTGAACTTAAATGTTCTATTGTGTACTGTGAGCAGGTATATAACTGCATTTATTACATTTTTGCGAGTGAAATATTGAGAAATATTTCATCGAAAAAGTGTTATTTTTCACTTTTTGCAGACTTACGCAAATCAAAAGAGCGAACACAAAGCATCTGATAAATTGATAAACCATAAATTTAGCAAGGTGCAAAAAACACAAAACCAGACATTTGAAGGGTTTGTTTACTTGTGATACAACCTTCAATTCCATGGTTAGCGTTCATTTTCATTAATGTCAGCTAACACTTCAACGCAAATTACCTTATCAGAGATCAGATCATATCCCCTACCGAACCTCTTGAACGTGGAGCTAACAAGTAAGACATTTCAAGGGAATTCGTGGCATTAACAGCGACAACTGTAGGTAGCCGCCATATCTTCAGCCGCGTAACAACTTGTCACTGGTGAAACTCTCATTAAACGTTTTACACTTAAGTTTGTCTCTTAGTGGCATGACTAAGTAGCAATGTGAACATGGAAATAAATTCCCATTGAATTTTATTTTGTTTTGTGTTTACATATTTTTAATGACTTTTTAAAAAAAATGGACTATATTTCGCCGCGTACTGTGAAGTTATAATGAGTGAGTAGTGTCCGAGAAAAAGGTTAGCCACCTTCTCGTGTTTTATTTGTTCTAAATTTGGCTATTTTGCTGATGATAATGTAATAAATAGAATATCTAATAAAGTTATCAGTTATAACAAATAAATGTCATTCATGTGTCTAATATTTTATGAATCTTTCACTCGTCTGATGTATATTGTGTAACATCTATATATATTACACTGTAAACAATGCTAACTCTCACCTTACAGGAGAGAGCTTCCAACGACCTAACAAAACTGTCAAATGGTCAACATTCACGATCACCCATTTGGAAGACTTTCTAATATGTTATTATAAACACCAATCCTATGTAAATAACAGTAACATGTTATTACAAGCCCAAATACTATGTGATTAACAATAACATGTTATTATAAACCACAAATACTACGTAATTAATTCAATTAAACACACATAAATCAAAATGATATATTACATTTGGCCTTTGTCAATATATTGGTTTCATTCATGAATACGATTTTCAATTTTATCCGAACCAACTTTCTGCTGAAACAGATAAAATTAGTCCGCCGTGCCGTAACAGCGACTGACACAGCTCGCTGCCGTGACCAGGATTCGAACCTGGGTTGTCGCGGCCACAACGCGAAGTACTAACCACTATACGATCACGGCCGTATTGGCGGATATGACAGTTGATCTTAAAATATTAATTTCTTTGTCGTCGAGAAATTGCAATCTTGATATAATTCTTCTTTATAACGAATATGTATCTAGATAATAATTATTATGAGTAACTTACAGAAATGTCTAAATTAGTTATTTTATTCAGTAACATATATATTTTCAGTGCACAACTTTTGTGGGATGAAATGTCTCATCTTCATTTATCTAGTGCCCTTAACAACCTGATTACCTAATACTGATATGAAGGCAACTAAGGTCACCAAATGATATAACGTTAACGCTAAGTCGGAATCACGTGATTTATGATAGTCACCTGGAAAATACAGACACCATGTCGTATCGCAATTATATTTCACGTTTATTGATTTTAGTCAACATTTTATATCTCCAAATGCTAAGACGAAAATTATCAGTTGTAAACGTGTTACTTAAAAGTTCAGGCCTCAACAGTAATTCGCCTCAACACCTCAGTTCCAACAGTAACTAAACCTCACATACAAGTCCTTTAATAAAAAAAAACCTTTGTTTGCAGTTCGGCTTTTCTTACAGTCACGCATACAGCAACCATATTTTTATTCATCACGAGAAGAGTATTTGTTTTTTTTTTTTTGGGGGGGGGGGGGGGGGGGGTTATCTAATTTTATGCATATTTTCTATTCTATACTATTGTAAGAAGCAATTCATTATAACGCCATGTGAAGGGCCCGACATGATATAATAATCTATTCCTTATACGTGTTTAATGGTGAGGACTCATGCCTGGGTTTGTTGAAAACGACGAGGAAGATTTATAAGAACAGTGTAAGTGCAAGGTATGTGATTCATACCAAGGATTAAAGATTTCAAGAGAGCATGATCAATCAAATTATTTAGGTTACTGATTAATCTAGCATTTAACTTTACGTTTTGGGGAAATTGTCTCTGCTCTGAACGTGGTTGCAATATCTTTAGGTATTTGGAACTTCTTAAACTCTTGATGTGAAGGACATAGATAGCCTTGTTTTCGGCATTGCTCCTCATTTTTCACCAACCTCATAATACGTTGCATTCCTTCTCATATTCCGTATGGCCTATCTTCAGACTAAATATAGTCTTCTTTTTCTACACATAGAAAAGCTGTACAATAGGTATGTGAGAGGACATATTTAGTAACCAAACCTTTATTGATATACGACCACAGTCGGTACATTAATTTCATTTTCCATCCATGGTCATAGAACTCCCAACGGCTTGTTCTTTTAAGTAAGAGACGCCCCTCGAACTACTCTGTGTTCTTGTTATTTCGAAATCAACTCAAACGATTGGAAAAACTTATTGGCAGTTTTCAATTTGTTTCCTGAATCTAATCATAGTCTTCCAGAGTTATACATGTAATGAAAGAGACATACATTAGCAACTGGAAAACGTGGTTAATTGTATTTAATTAAAAACATTAAAAACGAAATCAGGACGTCGTCTACACCTTCACAAAATGTTATTCACGCGCTAAAACCTCTACAAAACTTCAAAATATTTTAACATCCAAACGCATGGTTTAAGTACAAAAGGAGTGTTTTCAAACGTTTCCCAATTCCATACCACAATTTCACAGATGAACTCATTAAAAAAATCAGAATTGACAGGTATGCTTAAAAGTTAATTACACTAACCTAAAATGTACATCATAACGAATTAATAAGTGTTCGTATATTTGCTTCTTTGTTGCGTCCTGTGCTAGCTGATTCTTTGTCATGATCTCATAATTTTAAAAGTAATCCGCCGTGCCGTAACAGCGACTGACACAGCTCACTGCCGTGACCAGGATTCGAACCTGGGTTGTCGCGGCCACAACGCGAAGTACTAACCACTATACGATCACGGCTGTATTGGCGGATATGAATACTGTATTTCAATGCATGGGTTGTTTTTCCCCCAATAAATTGCATTTGTGACGTCGTGACTTATCAAACAAACTTCTTGGTAATCATTTTCACGTTTATTTCGAAATCGTTATGAATTGCCCCTGAAATATATCGTATTAATAATTTTATCTCGACCTATTTTGACGTTTGATAGTACGTCCTCAAACCCTGATTACATAATACTGATATGGAGGCATCCGTGGTTATTAAATAACATCACTTTAGTGCAGGGTCACTGTTTATATGTTCCTACTATAATTGTATGTTCGCGATGAATTTTGATTGGTGTCTGAAAGGCTTGTCGTTTTAAATCAACATCTCGAAATGTAGACAATAGCTGTTCTTGATTTTGAACCTAAGTGGTCTATTGTGTAGTGTAAGGAGGTATATAACTGTATTTATTACAATTTTGCTAGTGAAATATAAAGAAATATCTCATCGATGAAAGCGTTATTTTTTCACTTTTGCAGACTTACGCAAATGAAATGAGAGAACACAAAGCATCTGATAAAATTAGCAAATCGTAATGCCTGAATGCTTTGTTTACTTGTGACACAACCTTCAATTCCATGCTTAGCGTTCATTGCAATTAATGTATATCGAATTCAATCATAATTACGATTTTTAACTTTACCCGAACCAATTTTCTGCTGAAACAGATAAAATGATTCCGCCGTGCCGTAACAGCGACTGACACAGCTCGCTGCCGTGACCAGGATTCGAACCTGGGTTGTCGCGGCCACAACGCGAAGTACTAACCACTATACGATCACGGCTGTATTGGCGGATATAAATAATATTTTTCGCCAATAAATTTTATTATTGGCGTCGTTACAAATCAAACATACTTCTTGGTAATGATGTTCATGTTTATTTTGTAAAACAATTAATTGTTTATCATAT